GGTGGTGGTGGTGGTGGGGTTCCAGTTAGTACAGGATCTTGAATTTGCCGGCAGACCTGGCCTTAGTGGTTATGTTGGGACTTTGGAGTGTGGGTCTACTCTCTGTACCCACATAGGCCATTCTCTGCTGACCTTGTCACACTGTTCTTATCTTCACAGTCCACTCTCTGACACCATCAGACATTAAACTCGTGGCAGCCATTGGCAACCTGGGAACTGTAAGTATTTCATATAGCTTGGCCTCGGGGACCATTTGGTACCAGTGACACCATGAATAAGCTCCTGATGATGTCTTGGCAGAATGTTCTGTTTGAGGCTAGGTGTGGTGGCACAAGGCTGTAATCTGAGCACTTGGGGGATAAAGGCAGAAGAACCAGAAGTTCCAGGTCATCTTCAACTACAAAATAATTTGGAGGCTAGCTGGGCAGTGGTAGCACATGCCTTTAATCCCAGCACTCAGGAGACACAGGCAGGTGGATCTCTGTGAGTTTGAGGCCAGCCTGGTCTCTGTCTCAGATAGCGCTCCATTTGGGAGCGAGCCTTGTATGAGTCAAAGATGTCCTAAACTCTTAGAGGGAGGACCTAATTTAAGAAAAAAAAAATCAAATGAATTGCCACAATCATCTCAGGGAATACCTGAGTTCCTCATTAGTAAGTTAAATCCACTGGTAAGTATTACATTGCTTCAGTTTTCTACAAGTACTTATTTTGATATATATTGCTCATCTCTTTATATTATCTCTTTGTATTTCTCACCTCTGTTCTTGCCATTAGTCACCTTTGGCCCCCTACTTTCCCTTTTGCTTTCTCTTTCATTTCACATATTCATTCATAATTTCGTGTATCTATGTAAGATATGGGAACTACAACAAGAGAAAATGTTTGATATTTGTCTTTCTGAAATTGGCTTAATTCCCATAACATGATTGTCTCCAGTTTCATCCCTTTTTCTTTCAACAATATGACTTGATTCTGTATGACTGAGAAAATTCCACTATGTATATAAACCACATTTTCTTTACCCACTCCTCTGGGTAAAGTTGGATAAGTAGGTTGGTGTAATAATTTGTTATGAATAGTGCTGCAACAGACGATGATGTGTAAGTATTTTGGATGTGTTGACTTGGAATCCTTTGGGAGTGGTGTGGGTGGGTCATACAGAAAACCTATCTTTAGTTTTCAAGATGCCTCCATACTGAATTCCACAGTCAAGGCACAGGGTTGATAAGGCAATTTTTAAGCTTTTGCATTTATAAGAGAAAGGAAATTCCATGTTTGCTCTGAATGTTTTTCTTAAAAAACAAAACATGGAGGGTCTGGAGAGTTGGTTCAGTGCTTAAGACACTTGTTGGACCCAGAAGACCAAGGTTCAATTCCCAGCACCTATGGGGCAGCTCACAACCATCTCTAATTTCAGTCCTAGGAAACTGGACACCCTCTTCTGACCTTCTGACCTTGATGGGCACTTGGGTCCCCCATGTGGTTGCACAGATACACATGCAGCAAAATACTCATAAAATAATTTTAAATATACTGATATTAATCAACATGTGTAATTGTGATAAACATGAATTTATAAATTTTACTATCTTAGCTACTTAAATACTTATTTATGATACTTAATACAATGCAAACATAGGAAGTAGTGACAAGAAAATGACATTCAGCAGAGGCACGGCCCTTGGCCCTTCCTGGCTTCCCTGTGTCCTTCCTCACTATACCCACTGCCCTCTAGTAACACTCCCTTCCCCCTTCTATCTCGTGTGTTCTCATGCTTTCCCACCCCTTTCTGAAAGCCTCTTTCTCCCTCTCTAGTTTTCTTGCTGCTCCCCACACTCTCCTTGGCATAAGGAACCTGCATTCTGCCACAGAAACACGGGCACATCCATGTTGAAGCAGCCCTTCACACAGTGGGGAAATGAATGGATGATGGACATGTGGTACACATACACAGTGGAACCTTACTTGGCCACAAAGAAAAATAAAGATTTGAAATTTGCAGGAAAATGGATGGAATTGAGATAACCCAGGTCCAGCAAGACAAATACTACAGTTCCTTTGTATACGTAGACCCAAGCTTCCATATGAGTCGTTTTATAAGTGTGCAGCTGAGTAGTATAAAGTATATTTTCACTGGATAGCCAGTCTCCAGAACATTCTTCACCTTACAAAACCGAAACTCTTCACACATTAAATAATAATTCATCTTGCATTTTCCCAGCCCCACCCCACATACACACATTTCCACTTTTGGTTTCCATGAGTTTGATTAGAGACTTCACATCCTTGAAATCATGTAGTAGTATCCTTCTTTATATAAACAACTTATTTTGATGAACATAATTTCCTCCTGTGCCAGATGCTTCCTTTTTGAGGGTGACTAATATTCCCTTGTATGCATGGACATACCATGTTTGTTTATCTGTTCATGCATGGACATGAGGCTGAGTCATCTTCTGGCTATTGCCAATCCTGCTAAAAAAAACAAAACTGTGTACAAATAATCTCCCCAAGATCCTACTTTTCATTCTTTTGGAAAGATGCCTTTAAATATGACACTAGATTACAAGATAAGTATACTTTTAATTATTTTTTGAGGAAGTTGAAAGTGATGGTGCATGTTTATAATTCCAATGTAGGGAAACTGTGGCAGGATCAAAGCAGATCTGAGGCCAGCCTGGGTTAGACAGCAAGTTCCATGCCAGGCTGAGATATATAGTGCTATTTTGTCTTTTAAAAAGAATTACTTTTCTGAGGAATTGTTGTACTGGTTTTCATAGAGGCTACTCAATTTACATTCCCACCAGTAATGCACAGAATCCCAGTTCTTTCATATTCTCAACTCATATTTTCTTTTTGTTTGGTTGGTATTTATTTATTTATTTTGGTTTTTCAAGACAGGGTTTCTCTGTGGCTTTGGAGGCTGTCCTGGAACTAGTTCTTGTAGACCAGGCTGGTCTTGAACTCATAGAGATCTGCCTGCCTCTGCCTCCTGAGTGCTGGGACTAAAGGTGTATACTATCACCAAACGGCTTGTTTGGTTGGTTTTTTAGACTTTATTATATGAGATGTGTCTGATGTCAGCTGACCTCTGCTGAGCCTGTGCTGTAGACACTGAAGCAGCTATTCAGGGTTCCTGCAGGTGTGACCCACTCCCTAGGGGGACTCTCTGGTTCCTCTGCTCTGGATAGAGAAGTCTCTGTGGAGTCCTGTTCTAAATCTAAAACTCTCGTGTGTGGGCTTGGACCTTCCAGCTTCACTTTGAGACAGCATTCCCTGCTCATGTATGGTGAGGTTGTCTGTTCTCATTCCCTCCTCTTGTTATTGGGCAAGAGTCAGGACCTACAGAGACGGAATGAAGCTTGGGCCAGAATGACCTCTGACCTCACCAGTCCATAGCCAGGCCCTCTACCTTGGATGAAACTTGAAGGCCCAGCTCCTTGTAGGCCACCCTTTTCTGTCTGTCCTGAGAGCCAGATGTGCCATGTATTAAAATGCAAACATACACACACACACACACACACACACACACACACACACACACAGAGAATACTAGTGGCAGACTTTAAAGTCCTTAATGTTAACACTTTTGCTTTGAGTTTCTGAAGTGTCTGAAATGAAGAAATGCTCTCTTACTTGGGAGTCTCTAAAACCTGTTAATTGTTTTAGATTTGTATTTCCTCTCAAACATTTTAAAATAAGATCTGCAAATATTTTCACAATTTATATTCAATAACACCTGTGAAACATGTTCCATACAAGAAAAATCCAGATGTACAGCACAAGAAAAATTCTTTTAAAAGATCTGTTCACATCCTGTGCCTTGGCCTCCTTTAACATGTATGTTCACTTATATGTACATACACAATCCAGTACATTTGAGGCGGTGAATATAGGGACATACATGACATATGAAACCTAAATGGTATCATAACACAGTAGTACATCTGAAAATCTTTTTTTTTCATATTTAACTATCAAAGACATCTCCATGCCAAACAGTGAGAGCTTATGATCTTATTTGGCTTAGGACCTTGAGGTCATAGCATTGGCCAGGCATTCATCTAATGAAATTGAGGAGAAAGAACGCTGGCCATTGTCGTGGTTTCTGGGCCATCTCAACTGAGCTTCTCCACATCCTGGCCTTGTCATTTTCTTTCTTCCTCCCTTCTTCCTTCTCTTGAGCACCTACTCCCCTTCTGCAATTCAAATAATTGCAAAAGAAGCAAATTTGTGGTCCTGAAACGCTGTGTCTTTAATCCAATCAGCTGTCAGCATTGAAATCGGGAGGTTTTCAAATATCTGTGTTTCCTTTGTCTGCAATATGAGATCTGGCAGCCACAGGTTCCCTGCCTCTCAGGCAGCTATATGCTCAAGCTGGCAGACAGCGCCCCCTGTGGTCTGACCCAGTCTGTCCAGCTTGCAGGGCCCAGGAGGTCCACTCCCTTGACTGCCCAACTCATAGCTCTGTTTCACAGCCCCTGACTTGCATAGTCCAGGGATTTTTGTTCAGCTTGTTCCCTCTCCCTGGAAGGTGACCTCCCCAAGTCCCTCTTACTGACAAGTGAGAGACATGACCCCAGGGAGAGGGATTTGTTCTTAGATCGCTTTAAAGACATGACCCAATTCCATGGGCTGGCCAGGTTGAAGCTGGTGGCTGGGACAATGAGGACAACTGTCTACCTGTGGCCACTGTACCCTGTCCTAGGCCCCAGGAATACAGTCAAGTACAAACAGATGGAAACACCTATCTTTAGTGGCTCTTACATTCTAGTCAAAGTGGGAGAGATGAAAAAGTCACCCTTAGATTGTGGAGGACTAAGGAAAATCGGTCTTTTGGCTCTGTGTAGACTATAGTATGAATATAGTGTGACTCATGATGTATTTAAATCTATACTCTGGGGAAAGCTCTCAGCCATTCTGTTGTGAGGGTCTGACAGACAAGCTGAGGGGGAGCAGGGTGTGTCTTCCTCCCCATAAAGTGAGCAAGGTGGACTTGGTCCTCCTGTGAACTTGTAGCTTCCCTGCATCGTTCTGGCTTCCCCTGGCTGACTAGTCACACCTGTGTCTCTTCCAGCCTCCAGCCTCTGGCAAGGTCACCGTGAAGAAAACTCAAAGGTACCCATCCTGGAACACAGCTAGCAGGGATGCCCCACCCGTATTCTCCTCTAACTTCTTGCTCAATTGATGGGGGTGGGACACCAAGGACCAGAGAGTTGAAAGACATTGCTTCAGGCTTAGGGACAGGGGAGCAACCAGAACCAGTTTCCAGCTTTCCAGCACCCTTGCAGAACCTGTGACTCCCCATGGCTCCTCTGGGTGAATGAGAAGTGGGAGAGGCCAGAAAAAGGGAATTCCTGTGTCTGTTACAGGCCTCCTCCCTCTGCTCTTGGGTGACCTTACAGGGTTTGGACCAGAGTCATTTTATACTGGACTCAGTGTTCCCCTCAGCTTTGAGCAGGACTAGAGGGGAAGAGGGTCCCAAGGGAGCTGTTTGCCCATGACTAACCCCAGAGCCAGGGTGAGCTAAAGCTTGTTAGGACTGGTCTATGCCGGCCAAAGAGAGGGCTCCATGGGTGACAAAAGTAGTCTTATCCTTTTGTGTTCGCCTCTTACAGCATCAAGAATGAACCACAACACGTGTGCATGGAAGCCATGACAGGTGAGTCCTGGCTTTCTAGCCAGATTCCAGATTGTCCCCAACCCTGTGACGCAGCAGACATTTTGTTAATAAAGAAGATGTACTTGACTTTATCACCAGTGCCTGCGAAAGGGGGAAGGCATGATAGGATAAGGGAGGCGGGGAATGGAAGGTCACATGTCCTGAATAGAAAGCATGAGAGATGGGATATGAAAGAAGGACTGGGATGACAGACAAAGCCTTAAGGGTTCTGGCTCCTCTAGGACCTCAGAGGTGGATTCATGACACTTACCTGAAAAGACGTCCTGGACCCTTCTTCCTGCCCAAGGGGAAGACCCTAGTCTACCTTTCCATTTATTTGCAAAATAAAACCTCATCCTATATTCAATATTCTCTCTCCCCCCTCTCTCCCCATAAAGACATGTCCTAGGTTCTAGAAAATGAAATGAAGGAAACGAAAAGAAGTAATTGTGATTAACATGTTGACATTTATTTGCATACAAGTGTGCAGCTGAAGCCACTCACTGTGAGCTGAGCTTCTTCATCTGATGCCAGAGGACCTTTGTGATTCTATTAAGTTATCCTAAAATGGCGAGTCCCTTGACGCTACTGAGCTAGACTGGGTAGTGTCCCATGCTTGCTGCTTGTGAGATGAATTGACCATACAGATGTTAGGCTGGGCTGTCATGCTGCTGCAGTGATGGGCAAGGGATAACTGGTCCCCTGTCAGCTGAGCCTGGGCATTGATACAAAGGGTTTGTGATGTATTAGGTTCTTAGGACAGGGATGAGGATCCTGTCCCTCCTTTGTTCATGTCCCAACAAGGAAGGCTGAGGCCACTGTCCTCTTGTCACCTGATTAGCAGGTGAGGTGTTAGGGTTAGAGTGGTAGGAAGGTCTCCTAGGCAGGAGTCAGAGTGCTCACTGATTTGTGGCTGTCACAGCTGTGCCAACACCTAGATATCTTTCCATTCAAAAGCTATGAGAGAAAAGAAGTGGTCGATTTGGGAATGCCTAGGGATACACTTTGGACCCCAGAAACCCCAGTACCTCTCTGCTGATTTGCCTGGTTTCTCATTTGCCTCCATCTCTCCCCCTCCCCCTGCCAAGCCAAATCACCCCTTTGAGGCACACAGTGATTAGGAATCCCAGCTGGGCAGAGGGCAGCAGAGGAAACTGGAAAGGCAGAGCTTGCTCTGAAACCATCAGCATCAGATGTCAAAAGCTGGTGGTACCCTGAGTAGGGAAGGGCAATGCCATGGCTGAAACAACACTGACAGCCATGGCAGGAGTTCCACAGAGAAAGTGGTCCAGGGATATCCAGACCCATTCAGTGTATGAGGCCATTGGTCCAGGCTCAACCCTCTTATCCTCTGGCCCCAGAATTTTAGAGCACTTTAGTGACCTCCAAATCAAGCCATGCCCTGGGCTGTCATGGGAGCATTTTGAAGATGGAAAAACTGAATGTTAGGCAGATAAATAGACTTTTCCAAGGTTGCTTGTTCAGTAAATAGTATGGTCTCTGTAAACCAAGGGCATCTATCCCCTTAGCCTTGCCTTTTGCTCTTCACCCTACCATCATAGAACCCCAAAAGAAAGATTAAATAACAATAGTCTAGAAACCAAAAGACGAGAATGATAGACACAAGTTTTGTGAAAAGTTTTAAAGTCTAATTGGTCACTTTTACTTTGGAAAGCTGTTATTTCCAATGATTTATTACCGTGACTTAGTGTTCATGTGTTTCCATCTGTCTTTAGCATCTATCCTCCCACACGGAATGGAGCGGTTCCCATGTGCACACATGCATGCCATTCTTATCATACTGAACTGAGTTCAAAGCTTTGTATTTCCTACCCATGGCTCTGGGATCCTATAAGCTTGTCACAGCTGAGAAAAACAGACTCATGTGTCTGGGTTAAGGATGCCAATGCCAACTTGCATATGAGTTAGGTAGTCACCTGGGGTCATGAAGCCAAGCAACTAGTCCTCTGACCTTCAGCCCAGTTTTCCTTTCTCAATGCCTGTCATCTGCAGAGCGTGTTCCCCTGTATAGAACTCTCCAACTGGCCCCTGGATCCTGCTTCCAAAGACCCTGAGGCTCTTGGGATCAGGCACAAAGAAAGGAGTGGAGAATGGCATTTCCCTCTGCCACCCACCCTCCCTACTCTGCCCCCTCCTCTCTGAAGAGCAAGACACAACTTAAGTGCTCATGACAACACTATTTTTAGCAGTTTTCTGGCTGTCAGCTTGGCGACATGTTCTCTGTGTGTTCCCTGGAGCTTTCCTACCCTGCTGTCACTCACAGGGAGCAGCCCAGAGCTCTAGTTCTAATCCCAGTAGCTCCTGTCAGCTGGGAGACCTGACACAGCTTGCTTGATGTCTCTATCTCAGTTTCCCCAGGAGTAAATGAGAGAATGCCTGGAGAGCACTCAACCCTGGGCCTGGCCCAGCTAGGCAGATGCTCAATTTAGCTCCCTTCACTTTCCAGGGTCGGCCTGGGGGTGGGGGGTGACCTCCCAACATGGTGTAAAGGCTGTTCCTTTCGATGGGGGCAGCTATTCTGTCTTGTCTCTCTAGGGAACCACAGTTCATCTTTAGATGATCCCTGGCTCTCTCTTTAGCCCTTTCAGATATCATCAGACATTTCAACCCTTCTGTTCTGATGCCCACGTGCTCTCCTGGGAAGAGCGGTGCAGCCCACAATATGGTTGAGTAAGTCACGTTCTTGTTCCTCTCTGGTGTCATGCACTCTTGCTAGCCTTGCGTTTGTAGGGACAGTCAGAGAGGTTTAAAATAGAGGACTTTATTAAATACCTTCCCCCTGCTGATTTCAGTTGGCTTTAAAAGACAGGGCAAGTCTGCTCTCAGAAGCCTGGGTGATTCAGGGGAGCCTCAGGCTCAGAGACTGACAGCTGTGCTGGGGTGTGGGGCTCAGCTTCCTGGCCCTCAGAAATATATTTTATTGGTTGTTCTTTCTATCTCCCTCCACCCCCGCCTCTGCACAGAGACTTGTGGATGCAGGCTAAACAGCTGGTGAGACATTTGAAAGAGAATCCGGTAAGAGGCTTTCTAACTCTGGTGTGGGTGGGCTGTCCAGGTTTGCTGCAAGGCAATGACACAGAGTGGCAATGACACTGGTACCAATTTGCCATGAGCACAACTCAGGTCCTGGCCTCTTAGGAAGTGTCCCTCCACTGTAGTACTCTGAAGGTCACTAGGGAGAAGAGTGAGTAGCTCTATTTAGAATGATTTTCTGTGTGAAACTACAGAGAGTTAGCAGCTGGACTAAATGACCTTTCACATAAGGAGGTGATTGGCTTCTGGAGAAAGGAGGAAAGGAAGGGAGAGAAAAGCTTGAATGTGACCTGTGACCTGGACTTTTTCTGCTTATCACTGTGTGATTCTTTCTGAGTAAGGCATCCAGCCTCCCCTAAACTTGGCTTTCCTATTTAAGAAATGGAGTAGTGAGAGAGCCTGACACGCAGGTTTATAGAGGATCGGATGAGATATTGAATGTGCCTGGCTCAGGTGATGCTCAATAAAAGCCGATAGTTATCATTGTCATTGTAGCAATAATTGCTGCGATGAATAATCACCACAGTGCTGGAGAGATGGCTCAGTCAGCAAAATGCTTGTTGTGCAAGCGTGAGGACCCGTGTTCCATTCCCAGCACCCACGTAATAACTAGGCAGAATGGTATGTGCCTGCAGTCCCAGCACTGGGGAGGGAGGAGACAGGAGGATCCCTGGGTCACACTGACCAGCCAGTCTAGCCAAATTCAAGAGCACTGGGTTCAGCAAGAGACACTGTCTCAGAAACAGAGTGGTTGACAAAGATACCTAACACACACACACACACACACACACACACACACAGAGGGAGCAGAAAGGTTGAGTCAGGTGAAGAATAGAAGAAAGGGTATGTGATAGGTAGGGTTTTAGTTGGGGGGGGTGGTAGGGAAGCATGGGAGGGAGAAGGGAACTGGGATTGTCATGTAAAATAATCTTGTTTCTAATTCCAATTTTAAAAAAATCTGCAAAAAAACCCAACACACACACACACACACACACACACACACACACACACACACACACACACACACACACACGGACCAAAATACCTGACAAGAAACAACTCAGGGAGGAAGAACTTACTTTGGTTCACGGTTTGTGGGGATGCAATCCACCATGCAGGGAAGGCAGGGCAGTCAGGGCATGAGTCATCTGGTTATAATGTATCCCTCAGTTAGGAGGCAAAGAGATGAATGCATGCCCCTCTGGCTTTCCCTTCCTTCCTCTTTGATTCAGCCTAGGCCCCTAGCCCACAGGATAGGGCTAACCATATTTAGGGTGGCTCTTCCCTTCTCTAGCCTTTCTGAAGCTGCCCTCACAAGCAAGCAGAGAGGTGTGTCTCCTAGGTGATTCTGAATCCTGTCCAAACCAGGGGTGGTGGCTTATAATCTGTATTCCCATCACTCAGGGGGCCAAGGAAGCAAATCTTAGGCAATTTGGGACCAGCCTGCTCTACAGAGTTAGACTTTATCTCAAAAACAAAACAAAAGCCATAAATAAATCAACCCAGTCTCGCTGGCAATGGTTAGCTATCATAATGATAATAAGAATGTAATTGTTCTCCATAATAGCTGGGCGGTACTGGATCCAACCCTGTAATTTTAAACATGAAGAAACTAGAATTCCAAGAAGTCATATGACAAGGCCAAGTTCATGCAGTCTGTTAGAGCTAAACCCTAAAGAGCAGAGCTCCCAGTGTTACCAGTGCTGTCTCAGAAAACAAGTTTGCTTTGTATCTAAGTGATATATGTTCACTAGAGAAAAATCAGAAAACAAGTGAGCAAATGTAATATTAAAGCCACCCTTAGGCCTAATGCCCAATGATAATTACTAACAGTGACTTTGTGTGTATTCCCTTCTACATTTTTCTAATTATGTGTCTCTGTATAAAATGCGGTGTTACTGAATAGATATGCTTTTTGCAATCTACTTTTCTCAGTTTTTCTGATATTAATTAGTTTCTATTATCATTTTAACAGCCACATACTGGTTCACTTACATAAATGTGGCAGAGCTTACACAAGAATATACTTCTTCAGATATTTATGCTGTTTGCTAGTTTTCATTCCTATGAACAATGTATCTTTGTAGCTAGATCTTGTATGGTCCTTCTTTCTTTAAAATACACTTCGGGAGCTGGGCCTGGTGGTACAGGCCTGTAATCATAGCTACTTAGGAGACTGAGGCAGGAGGATTGCAGGTTCAAAGCCCTCCTGGTTACAGAGTGAGTTTAAGGCCAGCCTGGGAAATTTAGTGAAACTCTATGTTAAAATAAAAAGAGGGCATTGTAGCTCAGTGATACTTACTTAGCATACACAAGACACTAGGTTCAATCTGATATTGAAGAAAAAGAAAACTTTTTAACAAGGTAGTCCCTTAGTACAACAAGGTCCAAATTGCCTTCAGAACAGTTATTCCACATTAGTCTACCAAGTATTACTTTTGACAGAGAGAGAGAGAGAGAGAGAGAGAGAGAGAGAGAGAGAGAATGATGAACACCCAAGCCAATGGTAGCTCATGCCTATAATCCTAGCTCTCAAGAGGCAAGAGGATCAGATGTTTGAGGCTAACAGAAACAAACCCATAACAGTGACTTAAGGTAGCTGGTGTGTGAGATTGAGAAACATGGGCAGACAGACTCCTGGCCCAAGCTCTTACCACCATCTCTTTGCTGTGTGTTCCAGCAACTTGACTTTAAGAAGGACTGGAAACTCATCACCGTGTTCTTCAGTAACACAAGCCAGTGTCACCTGTGTCCCTCTACCCAGCAGGTAAGCTGCAGGCTGGGAGGCTGAGGGGCAGCTGGTGTAGAGCAGACAGGCTAACCCTGTCTGAGCACTGTCTACTGAGCTAATGGTGAGGCTCCTAGTTCAAAATCAGGACAGGTGGATAAGTGAGTCAGGTGAGTGAGTAGATGGATGGACAGATGGAAGATGGATGGATGGATGGATTCTCAAGAAAACAGATGAAATAATACGTATTTGCTTTTCTCCCTGCAGTATTTTAGTATGATAACATGTGCAGAACATAAAATTCACCATCTTAGCCATTTCTGTGGGTTGTTCTGAGTTGGGTGGGATTAAATGCTGTCACAAGTGCATGCCCACAGTTGTACATCTATAACTATCACAGGAGCCAGGAATGCTTTTAAATTTTTGTATTTTAAATTTGTAAAAGAAAATTTATTTTATATTTATTGTTCAAAATAATGTGTCTTGTGTATACATTGTGTATATGTATACATGCATATAATGTACTTTCATTATATCCCCACACACCCATTACCCTCTCTCCTCCCCCTCCCCTGCTTGCCAAACAGTTCTTGCTCAAGTGTTTACCTAATTATTCTTTATCAATAAAAACTCAGGAGTCAGATATGGAAGTAAGAACCTGAGTGATCAGAGAAGCAGCTGCAAAGTGACCAGTGACCTCCTATCTCTTTCGTTCCTCCATCCAAAAAGGCCGAGACCCTTTCTAAGCCCCACCCTACCACTCTCTGTCTCTCTATCTGTCTTCAGTCCTCCAAAACCTCTATGGTTAATTTTGGTCAGCTAGTAGCTAGTTCTACTCTCTGATTCAAAGCAAACTTTATTGTCAGAATGTGATTACCCTTCTAGGTTTGTAGGCCCTTTCTTCACCCTGATGTATCCTTTGCTGTGCAGGAGATTTTAGATTTAATGTGATCTTACTAGGGATTTTAATACCCACCAATCTCTCATATGAGGAAAAGAAATTCAGGCTTAAATAAATGGTGTTTAATGATCTTTCTACACCTGAGGAGGATCAACTTCCTAGTTAGTTAAGAACTGTTTTGCCTTTCTTGATCTGCCTTCAGTGAGTGCTTTCTTTAGAGAATACTGTAGGATGCATACATTTGCCTCACCCTAAACCTATCAGTTCCAGCTTGGGTGAGAAGGCTAGTGTTTACCAAAAGCAAGCAACCTGTGGATTTTACTGTTCAAGCTCATTGGCTTTCCTGGGAACAAAATGCAGAGTTCTGTTTGATATTTGCATAGGTGATTATATTGCAGATTGTGACTTCAGTATTTATGGAAGGCCATGTCCAATTAGCTAAAAGTGTAAGTGATGGCGGGGGAACATAGGCTCTGGCATTATAAATGACATACAGACTCTTCTTCAGGAGTCTAAAGTCAAGCTGCCACCAAGCAACCTCTGTCAATTATCATGGCTTGCCTACTGACCCCTCAGCTTAGCTCCCAGGACCTCAGTCAGGCCATGGCTTGGGCATGGTGAAGTATCTTGATATGCCCTTCCCTTTGCACAACTTGCCTTCTTCCAAATGCTGTGTACTTCCGCCAATCCCTGGGACACTGTCAAAGTTTCCTTTCCTTAGTCCTGTAGAACCCTAGGAGAATCGTGGTAAAGAATCCCCCACTCCCGTAGCTAGCTCTCTGAGTTCTGAGTATATCATGTACACATGATGAAACTTTCTGCCCACCTCTGCCAAGTGAAATTTACATGCTCTGTTTGTTCTCTCTGGGGTCGTTGTGCATTTTAACATTAACTCATGAATTATGTATCCCTGCATTGAAATATTCAAGCATGCATTTAGACATGACTGCATTCCTCTACATAGCCACTCATTGCTCTTCAGCCACTCACCCATTATCATACCCATATGTAAATTAACCCTCTTACATGCAGATTCAGACACATGCTGTCATAGCTGCAATGAGTTTGCTCAGGCTGGCACTGATTTATTTTTTATGTGTGAGTGTGCATTCACGGATACTTATACTCATTCACGATTTCTTCTCTGCATGCTAACTTGCAGTCAAGCAAATGTACATGATTTCTTGCCTTTAATGTATTTATCCCTTCAAGCATTATTGAATACATGATGCATTCTAAGTATATGGGTCCCATTTATGTGACTTTTTAAAAATTATATTTTAGTCCCACAAGTAGTACACAAGTCTTTTTTTTTTACTTTTAAAATTCTTTGTTTTTTATTAAAATGTATCCAGTATGCATATTAATGGATTTGGTGTGACATTTCCACATAGGTGTGCACTGTGTGTCTTTCATCAACCACATATTTTCAAGACCCTGTCATGTTGACACCTACAGACTAGACCGAGTCTTGCTGACTGATTCGCTCCACAGTGCGAATTTGCCACCTCTTGTTTCAGTATTGGCTTACTGACAGCCATTTATCTTCTTTGAGTTTTTTAGTATTTTAAACACATAAAAGTGTTTTGCTAAGTTTTGAGGTCACGGTGGTGCTGGTATTAGTGAGTCCTCACAAATTAGTCAGAAATGTTGCAACAAAACTGTAAAATGAAGGAAGAAGGAAATGGAATAGAATGAACTGTAAAGTGTTCTAGTTTATTGCATGAAGTAAGGGGGCTATGGATTCACACACACACTGAGTCATGGTCCAAGTAGTCTGAAAACAAGTGTCTAGAATAGACATTATAGGCATATAATGTCTTCTACTTGGAAGCAGTGACAGTTGGTGAGTCAAGTGACAACCATTCCATGTCTGGGATGACTGGATGAGCCTAGATGCCCCAAATAGCTAGAGACAAAGCCTTGACCCACGGGTTTCTAAAGCAAGATTCACACTTGGGGGAGGCACCATGCTCCTCCACATCCCCTAGGGAGGGTGGATGCCCTGAATGTAAGGCAGATAGGCAGCAGAGACTTTTCTGGACCCACTTCCTAAGGCTCTCAGGGGGAAAGTGATGCTCAGAAGAATCCAGATTGAATGCTTATCACTGGTCATTGCAACAGAAGGGCAGGGCTGGCCTCTGCCAGCCTCCCACCAAAGCAGGGCAGAGGAGACACAGGGATGGACTTATTCCAAGGCTGTGGGTGGCAGGCAGCCCTCCCTGCAACCCCATCTGGTGATTGGCAGCTGTCTCTAGAGTCCCTGTCCTTGTCTCCCCAGGTAATAGCATAGATTCTTGCCCTTTCTTGTCTTGCTGTCTAAGCCACATCGCTTCAGGGGACAGCCAGTCTGCAGCCAGCTGAGGAGTTCCTCTTCTTGTGACTTTTATTTATTTTTCACACTGAAATGATAACCAGAGGTCACATTTAGAGGTGCTCTCATTTGCCTGTTTTCTCCCCTGCAAAGAGAGGGAGAGGGTTGCACTGACAAGCGGGGTGGGGGCAGGGCACAGACAGGTTTATACATTCCAGCAATGGGGCCATCTCAACCCTGTCTCTGGGACCCTTTCTCTTACTCACTCAAATGTGGCACAGGGAAAAAACAGGGTGGGGCATGAGAAGAGGGATCTGGCAAACAGCCAAGCTTGGATTTCTGGCCAGGAATCCAAAAGCTTTTGAGCATTTCATATTTGGGATTTTCAGACAATAAATGTTCAGTTGCATAAAAGCTATACAAATATCCCCACATCTAAAAGACTCCAAAGTCAGAAACATTTCTGGTCCCAAACATCTCCAGGAAGGGATATTTGGCCTGTGCCCTGTGGAAGTTTGGAGTTTTATATTTTTTATTGTGGTGTGTGTATATGCACACAAGATGATTACATGCATGTGAAGATCAGAGGACCTGTCAGTGTTCTCTTTCCATCATGAGGGTCCAGGGAATTGAACTTGTGTCTTCAGGGTTGGCAGCAAGTGCCTTTACCCAAGTTAACCATCTTACTGGTTCTTTCTTTCTTTCTTTCTTTCTTTCTTTCTTTCTTTCTTTCCCCCCTTCCTTCCTTCCTTCCTTCCTTTTAATGTTGTTGTTTACATTGTGTGTGTGTGTGTGTGTGTGTGTGTGTGTGATACTGTGATGTGTGGAGGTTGAAGAACAATCTAACTGGCCACCGGCTTACTGGCAGATGCCTTTACTCACTGAGCAATCTTGCCAGGTCTCCTTCTGAGGTTTTGAGATCTGTCTAGGTCTTAAATCCAGGTTGATCATGTTTCCTCTTCAGTATGGATTTTCTTCAGATAAAAGCAACTCCCTCAGCCTTTGGGAATGTGTCCCACCCTTCACTGGGAGAATCAGAGCCACAGCAGTGTTTCTCATCGTGTTTCAACCTTGGGCTTAGTCTCTGATGTGGAATGCCTCCCTACTGAGAGATTGATGGTTTTTCTGGTGGAGGATGGGTTAGAGAAACAGAGACTGGACCCAAAGCCCAAACCAAGATGAAGCAGCTTGGGGATTCTACACTTGTGGGGAAGCACGGTCTCCATTAAGCACTGGCCCATAGTCCCTTTGGGGTCATCTAAGTCTGGGTCCCTGGGCCTCATGTCCTCCCTATTTCCACATTTGCTCACCCCAGTTCTTCTCTCACAGAAAAGACATTTGATAAGGAGCATGGAAAAGATGTGTGAGATACTGGATTACCTGCACCAGGAGGTGAGTCAGGGGCTCCCCAGCCCCTGGGGCCTTGGGACATGGACCATGAGGCAAGCATCATTTTGGGTGCTTCCCAAAGCCCTTCTCAAGGGAAGCTGAGGTGGGATTTGATTGAGGAGGGAAAATGGATGTCTATGAGAGAACACGATCCTGAGGCACGGAAAACTTGAAGGACTGGTCTTGTCTCCATCATAAAAAGGGGCGCTTCTGAGAGGGGCTTGGCAGTTCTTAGAGGACTCAGTGCCCTCACTTTCTGACTGAGGCTGGCCTCTCTAGAAGCTGGAGGTTCTGAGCCCCCACGAGCAGGGCTGCACTGACCACCAGAGACAGGGACAGTTGCATTTCTAAGATGCACAGCTGGCAGCGGGGGGTTGTGGGGTGTGACGGTGACGGTGACAGTTTGGGACTAACCTCATCCAAACCCTCCAAAGGGTGGCCTCCAAACGAAGCCCATGGGGTTGAGAGAGCCCAGAGGCAGCCGTGGCAGCCATGGCAGCTTGGCAAATACCTGTGTCCCTTCCTGTCTCTTACGTCTCTTCATATCCCCTAGGTTCCCAAAGCATTTGTGAATTTGGTGGATCTCTCTGAGGTTTTGGCCATGTCTCATCAGCATCAGACTGGGCTCAGGTAAAAGAGAGAGAGAGACAGAGAGAGAGAGAGAGAGAGAGAGAGAGAGAGAGAGAGAGAGAGAGAGAGAGAATGAATAGGCATCATCTGTTACGTGGTTGTGATTGTTAAATGCGGTACTGCACAGGCTTCCCACATAACGCTGATACCCTGGGGAGACCCATGCACGGAGGCTAGCCAGTCAAGCAGCTGTTAAACTCACATCCTAGTGAGTGGCAGAGTCAGTGGGATGTTGCAATAATTAATTTGGTTGATGCAATGGTAGAGCCCCACCCCCAACCTTGCAAATGATTTGAGAGTTTAAACCACAGTTGGTAGAGTGCTTGGCTAGCATGCAGAAATGGGGTTCAGTCTCTAGTACAGCATAAAACTAGGCATGGTGATACACATCTGTAGTCACAGCACTTGATGATAGATAGAAAGGAGGGTCAGAAGGGCAAAGCTGCATGCAACAGGTTGGAGGCAAGCCTGAGCCACTACATGAGACAGTCTTAAACAAAACAACCACAAACCCATTCTAGTTTGGCAAAATATCTCTGCGACAAGAAGCATTAGTGACTATGAAAAGGAAAAAAAAAACAGAACTAAATGTATTTTAATGTCTCAGAACTTGGTTCCTGTGTATTTCTGAACTTTCTCAGAGGATTTTCACTTTATCTTCAGAATCTGGTATTTGATGCTGAAAAAGAAGCTCATATGAAAAAAGTCAGAACAAGGACTGCTGAGAAAGGAAAGGGTTCTGAAGGGGAAGGAGGGTAAAAGGGGAATAGGAGAAAAATGATGGGATGTGGGTTTCTGAGGTGCAGAGAGGAAGAGGAAGGGAGAGGAAGAGCATCATAGCATGTCCTGGCCCTGTGGACAAGGAGTGCTTTCCACTCTGAACTGGCGATTTGTGTCAATTTGACACAAGCTAGAGTCAATCTGACAGGAGGGATCCCTAATTGAGAAAATGTCTCCATAAGATTAGGCTGTAACCAGGCGTTGGTGGCATATGCCTTTAATCCCAGCACTCCGGAGGCAGAGGCAGGCAGATCTCTGTGAGTTCGAGACCAGCCTGGTCTACAGAGCGAGTTCCTGGACAGTTTCCAAAACAATACAGAGAAACCCTGTCTAGAAAAACAAAAAAATTTAGGCTGTAGGTAAACCTGTAGAGCATTTTCTTAATTAGTGATCGATGGGGGATGGCCCAGTCTATTGTGGGTGAGGCCATCCCTGGGCTGGTGGTCCTGGGTTCTGTAATTAAGCAGACTGTGAAAACCATGAGAAGCTAGCCAGTAAGCAGCACCCCTCCATGGCCTCTGCACAGGCTCCTGCCTCTAGGTTCCTGCCATGTTTGAGTTGCTTCCCTGACTTCCCTCGGTGGACTGATTCAGGATTTGTAAGCCAAAGAAAATTATTTTCAAGTTGCTTTTAGTCTTGGTGTTTCCACAGCAACAGCATCCCTGAGAGAATTTGGTACCAGGTTTGTGGGGTGGTCCTGTGATAGACCTGATCCTGTTGTTTTGGGCTGGAGAATTGTGGGAACACTTTGGAACTTTGGACTGGAACAGCCACTGAGTGTTCAAAGGTTGACACATTGTTGTGAGAACTGGGAAGATGAACCTGAGAGTGGGGCAGATGACAGAGGTCTGGCTTGTGAAGTTTCCAAAGGAAGTTTGAGAAACACTTAAAGACATTGCATATTTTGAGTTAAGAATCTGTGATTCTGGTCAGCTGGGACTGGGGAATCAGCTGTAATTAACAAGATAACAGAAGTGAAGTCAAACAAAAGTGGTATTTTTGCTTTGCTTGGGCAATTGATACTGGCCGGCTGGAGCTGAGAAGTTAGTGGTGATTAAGAAAGAGGTGAAGTCTTCTAGGAAGTGTTACTATAGAGGAGACAGAAACGTGTGTTCCAGAGGTGGCCAAGGTTGTATCTTGTGCTGGCAGCCAAACTTGGTAGAATAAGAGTTACTCATGTGGTAATGGTTTTAAAGGCATGAAGACGTCATGGAGAGCAGCTGAGGGTTGGCACTGTATGAAGCACCCAAAGAAGAGCCTAGAAGAGGGAGAGGCTGGTGGTAAAAGTGCAGCCCGGTTGCAACAAGAGATCCTAAAAGTTTAGAGACACATGGGCAGCAGGATTTGGAGTGGTCGGAGCTTAGGAGATGACCCATATGTACTGCAGAGGATGGGGCTGGGTAAATGACACAGGCCCTTTGGAGGACACCAGCGAGTGGGTCCCAGACACTGAGTTATTTACACAGTTGGAATATGGTTTTGCTTTGTTCGGGGTGTAACTGTGCCCTGGTTCATCCCACTTGAAGTAAGAAAGTATTTAACTTACTTTTATTTTACAGGAGCCCACAGTTGAGAGACTGTGAATTTTTAAAGAGGTCTTGGAGTTTTATGGAGACTTTGTATTTTAAAGGAGACTTTGGATTTTTTTTTAAAGAGACTGGGTTTTGAAGTGTTTGAATTTGTAAAGATTGTGAGACTTTTAACTTCATAATGTTTTATGATGTGATGTTTATTAATATGAGATGTAAGAGATGAACAAGAAAGTAAAGGTTAACAGTCATGCGATTGTGTGTCAAGTTGACAGGGGTCTCTTGTGCTAACTAGTTTAATGTCATCTTGACACAAACTAGAGTCATCTGAAAGAAGGGAACCTGAATTGAGAAAAATGCCTCTATAATATGGGGCTTTAGCCAAAGCTGTATTTTCTTAGTGATTGATGGGGGAGGGCCCAGCCCATTGTGGGTGGGGATATCCCTGAGCTAGTGGTCCTGGGTGCTATAAGAAAGCAGGCTGAGCAAACCATGAGGTTTAAGACCCCTCCATGGCCTCTGCATCAGATCCTGTCTCCAAGTTTGAATTCCTGCCCTGACTTCCCTCACTAGACTGTGATTCAAAATATACCAGCCCTTTCCTACCCAAGCTGCTTTCATCACAGCACAAGTGACCCTAACTAAAATAGACCCCCCAACCTTCATCGCCACCACTTGCCTCTTCTGTGCCCTCTAAGGCTGCAACTTCCCCTCCAGTCTTCCTAAGCAGCTTGCTGCACCCCAGTCACTCTCTCTGTTGGAGGCCCTCTGGATAGCCCCACCCCACCAGGATAGTCCATCATGCTTGGCTTGTTTTGATCTGCAGCCCTGCACCAGAGCTTTGCAATTGCTCAGAGGAGACAACCAAGTTGTCCAAGGCTGTCATGCAGTGGTCCTATCAGGTGAGCCCCACTTGGAACCTGGGCTGCTGGCTCACGGGGGCATGGGAGTGCAGAGGAGGAAAACAGGGATGCATCCACACTTAAGCCTGCACGTGTTTGTAGTTCATCACCCTTGGCCTGAGAGGCAGCCAAGGGCTGGAGAGGGGAGGACTGTCCTCTCAGAGGCTTTCCCCAGCAGGTGCCCCATCCTGAGGGACAACTAGCTAACTAGCTCTAGTAAGACTTGGCTGAATTCAGGGCTGCCGGGGGTCAAGGAGAGGTACCCCCCATTCATTCTGAAATGTGTTTTTGCTGCCATTGTTGCTGGCAATGCTACATGTGTGGTTCTCTAGCCTTTCTTCTATGTGATAAGCCCACCCTTGGTGATTGAGCTCTGTGAGGCATCAAAAGTATGGACAGTAGATAGTGAAGAAGCCTGAGCTACAACCCTGCCCCCCCTCCTCCTGCCCCCCCCCCACACACCATACAGATGGTGCATGAATGGGGGCAAGTCATTCATCCTGAAGCCATACATTTTGGTTGATCAAAGAAGCCAAGTAGGGTGTAGTGGGCTCAGTGAAAGCCACTATTCTTGCTGGTAAACAGCTCAAAATTTAGTGCTCACTGACATTATTTATACTCAACCAAAGTTGTGAGTACAGTTGTATGGCACTGTCTACTCTGGATATGATAGCTTGGTTGGGGTAGGGGGAATAATGGCACGTGCCTTTGCAGACCTAGCCCCCAAGGAGAACATGTCTCCTCTGTAGCATGCAGGGCTACCTTGTACTTCTTGAGTTTCCAGAGAAGAGTCTCCAGCTCTGTCTGGTAGGCCCTAGTGCTAGAGCTTCAGAGACAAGGGAAAACTTGATTCCAATCTTCAAGAGCCCCAAAGTGCATGGCAGGGGTGAGCTTCCAAGCAGCACACAGTTGTCCATCATGTGTCGAGGTGGTTGGGTGAGGGGTCCTGGAGTGTTAAACACTCTGGCTGGCTTGGGCTCTTGAGCATGCACTCTCTTCTCCCTTCTCAGGAAGCCTGGGAAGGTCTCCTGGCCTCCATCAAGTTCAACAAGCATGAGTCCTTCACAGTGGTTTTCCAGCCTTTCTTCTATGAGGTAGAACCACCTTCGGTGAGTGAGCTACGTGAGACACCAAGAGTATGGACAGTGCATAGTGAGGAAGCCTGGGCCACACACCTGCCCCTCCTCTTCCTCCTTCTCCTCTCCCCTCCTTCTCTCCCCTCCTCTCTCCTCCATAGAATCCCCAACATTTACTGAATACTGGATATATAGTCTCAGAGACAATACCACAGTAGTCTCTCACCCTTTCCCATGCAGCTCCCTCACAGGGTTGCATAGCCCAGTGAGGCAGACCCTGAAAGGCAGAGACTCAGGGCTAATAGCCTGGCCTAAAGCTTTGCTTTTAGAATGGGCCAACTTTGTGACCTGAGGCAAAGGGTTTGACTCCTCTGTGCCTTGGTTTCACATCTGTAAAATGAGGACTGTTATTAATATCCTATCCATCTGGAGTGGATGTCAGGATCCCATGAGCTAACACATGGGAAGAACTCAGGGCCTGAGGCTTGCAAAGCCCTGGATACCTCCCACCTTTTTGACTACAGAGGACAGCATTTTCAAGACCACTGCCTCTAGCTTTTCCCTCTGTGTGCTCCTCTACCTCCATCCCTGGAGAGAGGCATTTGCATCTTCCTCCCCAGGGACTACCCGGAGTGTGTAGCACTGAGGGAGGGACAGCCTGCTTAACCAGGTCTCTGTAGCTCCTGATCCTTCAGGGCTATGTCTGGGAATGGCTCCCAGCTCCTACCTGGTGGCCTCACTGTGCTACCTTCAAGACTTACTTGCCGTTTAAAGTCATGGTTCATAGGAGGAAAGGACCCCTGCCCATGCCTCAACTGAGTCACCTCCCTGTCACCTGCTCCTGATCTGAGTTCAGTTTTGGAGGCTGGAGAACAAAACAGAGCAAACAGAGACTGGCCCTGTTCCTGCCAGCCCTGACCTCCAAACCCTGACCCCAGACAGCATTCCTAAAGTGTACTACTCATTGAGGAAGGGCTAGGGGACACAGCTGGATGGGCCATGGTCCTGCCTACATGGGTCAGCCAGTATGTAGAGGCCATCATATTCTGGGTGTGGGGGTGGGGTGACACAGAGTTCTTTCCAACCTCATTCTCTTCCAGGAGAGGTCCACACCCCAGGATCCCAGAACACTTGCCCTCGGGATCTGGAACAACATGGTGAGTGTGGAGATGTGAGGCTCGTGCCAGCCTGAGGGCTGACTCACAGAGGGGCAGCCACGGCCATTGCCTCTCCCTGCCCATTGCTCCAAGGACACTAGTGCAGGACACTAGTGGAGATGCTGGCCAGGCTCAATGCCAGAATCTTGATCCTCCAATGTGGGGATCTAGTGGGGAGCTCCACCCTGCTTTCCCCAGAGACAGAGCATTGTCCCTAGAGGTTGGGTGGTTGACTGGCTTCACGTTTCATTTCAGGGCACAGGGTCCCCTGCAGTTCCCACTCACTATCCTCACCTAAGTGACACAACACAGGTTTAAAGGTGTAGGTGGCACCCAGAGCCATCATGGTCTTCAGAGAGATGACCTGAGCTCGAATTAGATCCTGCCTCTCATGCCTGCATCAATTTGGGGTATCAACTCCCCACACAAAACAACTAACCCCGGCCCCACACATTCAGTATATCTCACCCTTGATGTCAGAGATTGTGTTGCTCTCCATAAGGTGACAGTGATGGGCTTTCCTAGGTCCCCAGAGATTCCCTGGGGCCTTTGGGGTTATTAATGGATGTAAGGGACTCCAAAGCTTGATGCCCTTTCGGTGCCAGGGGGCTTCTTTTGCCACTGTTTCCCCCATCCATGCTGCCCTATCTTATAATCCCAGCAATATAAATTGGTTTTTCTGCTTCCTTGGATTAGCAACATTTCATTCTTTCTCTCCAACTGGTGAGCTGTGTGGAATTTATTGAGTTCCCATTAGCCCAAGGTGACCTGTGGAGATCAGAGCAGGGAGGCTAGGGAAGGGTGGTAGTGACCCCATATATGAAACACTTTGCCCGTTGTCATTGAAACCCAAGGTGTTTTCCAAAGGCATTTGCTGGTGGGGCAGGCGCTTGGATGGAATAACCCCCTACCAGTGGTTCTGAGCCCTCCTAATGCTGTGACCCTTTAATACAGTTCCCCATCTGTGGTGACCCCAACCATAAAATTATTTTCATTGCTGCTTCACAACTGTAACTTTGCAACTGTTAGGAATTGTAATGTGAATTTGTTTTTTGGAGATAGAGTTTTACTAAAAAGGGTTGTGACTCACAGGTTGAGAACCTCTGCTAGACTTTCTTCCATGAAGGGCAGAGAACAGACCTTAGACTTTCTGTCCTCCTATCACCCTCTTTCAAGGACAGAGGGTTGACTGTGCCAGCTCAGGCAAACCTCAGGCCTCTACCACACCATGCTTCCTCAGGCAACAAGTATATGACTTTACTCTGCCCTGCCTGGTGCTAGAGGGGAAAGGAGACACCAAGTATGGCCTCTGTATTTGTGGAGCTCAAGATATAGCTGGGAAGGGACCAGTAACTAGAACAGGGTACATGAGACTTGGCCAGCAAGGATGTGCTGGCAGTTCCTCCAAACTCGGTATAGACCATGAGGTCAGGAGGGGCCCTGAAGACGGGATTTAAAGTGAATTTGAAGTGGTGTATTGGCAAGAGGGCCTCTGTGAGGAAAGGGTGTGGGAATGACTGGCAGGAGAGAGGCTGGCTGAGAGAAAGTGTGGAGACATGGGACCCAGAGCACAGATAAGCCCTGGAACTCAGGAACAGCTGAAGAGAGCACAGCAGGGTGGCATCCTTTTCTTTTTCTCCTCCTCTCCTGCCATTGACTGTCCTTGGTGTTTGCAGCAATAATGGTGATAACCGCTTTTATCAGGTGGCCAAGTGACATTCCCATGCTACTGACCCAGTTTCCTCTAATCTGCTCAAGGGTCACAAGGAGGGAGCGCCCAGAGGTCTCTCCTTTAAGGTCAAGGATGTGGGGTACAGCAAGTGCCAGGAGGACTTCATGGAGGAAGTGACAGTTGTCCTAGGTGGGCAGTCACAGTCTCTCTCCAGACCTGTCCAAACACCCACAAGCCCACAGTTTCCTACAAAGTCTCTCAAGATGCCAGCAGCCCAGAAAGGGGGAGAGGAACCGCCCCCCAAGTGTTTCAGTTCCCCGGTTTCCTTACTGGCAGGATACCAGGCCACCCACCTCTCTGCTAGAACCCACCCACAGCTCGGGCAGGCTTGAATCTGCCCACGAATGATATGGAATGTGACGGGTTAGGGCGAGGCGAAGGGTGTCAGAAAGTGGTTGAAAGTGGTTCTGGCTCCAGTCCCGCTTCTGGCTGTTTCTTTACAGAATCTCTTTTCTCTCCTCTGCTGAGAGCATAATGACCTTCAGCTAGCCTGGGGTGGGGGTGAGGCTTATGAAAGAAAGGGAGCCTGTGGGTTCCCTTCACATTTTTCAGTTCTGTGGCCCCTTAGAGTGTGCAGAAGCTGGAGCCCCTGGTTTGTGTTTCTCTTACCCCAAAGCATTGAGGCTAATCCCAGGAACATATGTCATATACCACATTCAGACACAGCCTCAGGGGAGGCCTTTCTTCCTAGATAAGTGGTGACAGGGGTGGGGAAGGGTGTCAGGAGAACTGCTGTAATCTCGGGGACCCTCATCTGCATTTTCCTGACCACATGTCCAAGGCACACCTGTGTGGAAAGGAATCTGCCCTGCAGCCCATAGAGCCATGTGTGGCTATGCACGGGCTGTATCAATGTCTGCCTCCTGTACCCTCAAACGGCAGGTGTGAGCTCTAAGCACCACACACATACAGAGGTGGTGAGTGGCTTTGTCTGCACACACCTGGACTAGAACGCTCCCAGGTGCATGACCTGCCTAGTCCCAGCCCTGGCTGCAGCTTGCATGCCCTATACAAAGCTGAAGAGGATTGGGCAGAACTCATTCTCTCTGGGCCCTTTCTGCTGCTTCCTCGGCAGATTCGGGAAATTCTTGTATAGTGGACACACCCTTGGGGACATTCAATCCCAGGGTCTTCTAGCAATTATAACACCCTACATTAAGTCTCACAGCATGATGCTAGCACCACCAGGCAGGAGAGAGAATGTGAGAAGTGTTCATACTTCAGAAGAACTCTTTCTAGATCTGATTTTTAATAATTTACTGCATTTATTTATTAAGGGGAGGGGAGCACTGAGCTATGGTGTGTGTATGGATGCCAGAGGACCACCAGACTCGAATCAGGCTTGGTGGCCAGTGCCTTTACCTACTGAGCCATTTCACCAACCCCCAGAGACGATTTTTCTTAAGATCACCTCCATCCATCCCCATGTACTAGCTAATTTCACTGTGGCAGAGCAGAGTGGAGGAGACATAGCAATTAAGGGACTGGAAGATGGAGCAAAAGCAATGATGAGACCAGGGACAAATGTCCCCAAAGAAAAATAGTGCCTTCTTGTGCAGCCCTGGGTGACAGAGGAAGAGAGGCTATTTGAAGAAATGGGGTTTTCTATCTTCTCTTAGGATTCAGGGTTAGAACTGGTGTCAGAAAACTGGGTGACTGATACAGGAACATTTAACTTAAGGCTTGCTGTAGCCTTAGCCTTGAGAAAGGACCCCACTCTATATATAACTAGGTTGTCCTCATGCTTCAGCCTCCCCAATGTTGAGATTATGGGTGTGTGGCCATCATGCCTATTTTAAGTTAGGGTTCCAAACAGAAGCAGGTTTATTGGGCAAACTTATAAACACTCGTTCTCTTGGGTCCTTGGGGTATTTTGTCAGGGTTCTATTGAATTCATTCCATTAGGATAGATGTGGTTTCTTTCTGGATTCTTTTGTGGGTTTTGAAAGATTGAGGAGAAAAATGCAGTTGCCCACCTGACCCTGGCCATAGCCAGGCCCCAGGGGCCCTCCCTTTGTGAGCCACTTGTCTCGGATTTCTAGGAGTGGCCACCATCAAAATAAAACCGAAAGGAGTTTGAGAGCCCAGTTCTCCCCCCCCCCACACACACACACCCCTACCACCACCACCACCCTGGGCCTGGAGCCACAGGCTGCCACTCCTTCACCAGAAGTGACTGTAATTATACCCCCTTATCTGACTCTCCTCCCACTGGATCAGAACAAGCCACAAGTCCTGAACATTCCTTCTAGCTCCCAGGTATCTGGGGCACAGACACAGACTTACTAGACCTTGGGGGAAATCCAAATCTCCATGGTTTGTATGTGTGACAGCTAGACAGGGGTGTCCAAGCCAGTAAGCAACCACAACCCTGTCAAAGTCCTTGTAAGGGGAGGTGAGGGACAGAGCTGCCACCAGAGCCTAGCACTTTGGGTGTGGCAGAGCTGAGAGCAAAGCATAAGGCTCCCAAAAGGAGGGAAAAGACATGTGCAAAAGACGCTTTGATTCCTCCAAGCCACTGCAGATCTGTTTAAGTTTCCTCCCTCCCTCCCTCCTACTCTTCCTCCATATTTCTCTCCCTGTCTCTCTTTCTCTCTGTCTCTTATCCATCTCTATCTCTCATCTCTCTCTTCCTCATATGCAAGATCTCATGTAGCCCAAGCTGGCTTTGAATTTTCTACTTAAGTGAGAATGACCTGGAGTTTCTGATCCTCCTACCTCTACCTCCAAAGTGCTGGGATTACAGGCATGTACGACCACACTAGCTAGGTCTTTATTCAGCACTAGGGAGCAAACCCAGGGCTTCAAACATGCTAGGCAAACACTCTGCTAGGACACATCCCCAGTCCATAGAAAGAGGTTTCAGAAACATCCTCCCTTGGGCTGGGGATGTGCCTAGCATGTCCTCTTGATCCGAAGGATTGAAGAAATACAAAAACCCCTTCGTCTAATTCTTCAGTTGCCTCCACCCCCGTTTCACAGAGCTTTCAACGAAGTTCTAACTTGCTGGTTCCACCTGCTGTTGCTCTCAGCACCATCTGTCTCTGGTTAGGTGGCCTTTGTGGTTATGATATCATACCATTCTTTCTCAAGTTGCTAGCCAGCCTATTGTCTGTGAGTGTGGGGGCAAAGCTGCATTCCCTGCCACTCTATCTCTGTGGTCCAGTTAAAGACTGGGACCTGTTTGGCTTCATGTGCAGCTGTGTAAATTTCAATCCAGAGGTGGGTTTTCGTTTGTTTGGTTTTGCTTTTTCGAAACAGGGTTTCTCTGTGGCTTTGAAGGCTGTCCTGGAACTAGCTCTTGTAGACCAGGCTGGCCTCGAACTCACAGAGATCTGCCTGCCTCTGCCTCCCAAGTGCTGGGATGAAAGGGGTGTTTTTTTTTTTTTTTTTTCTCCCCCCCTCCCCCCCCCCCCCCCCCCCCCCCCCCCCCCCCGCTCTTGCTTTCTTTCTTTTCTTTTGTGTTAGAGACTGGGTTTCTCTATGTAGCATCAGAACTTGTCCTGAAAATCACTTTGTAGAATAGGCTGGCCTCTCACATGTCAGATATCCTGCATATCTGATATTTACATTATGAATCATAACAGTAGCAAAAATTAGTAATGAAGTAGCAATGGAAATAATTTTATGCTTAGGGGTCAACATGAGGAGCTGTATTAAAGGGTCACAGAATTAGGAAGGTTGAAAACCACTGATGTAGATTATAACTGCAGGAAGGAGGAAGCCAGGGCAAAGGATACATACATGCTTCTCACATGCTACTAGGGCTTATCCTTCTTCCTTGTCTCTACTGTCCTTGCTATGAAAATCTTCATCTGTGTCCAACAGATGGACACTGAGGTGGATTCAGAACACCAATGCCAGTCTGCCTTGGATACCTACTCCAAACCATGTCTAGTTTCTCCTCCTGCACTCCTGAGGAGAGGTGGACTAAGAAGTCCTGTCAATGAAGAAACAAAACCAAAAAAACAAAAACAAAAACAAAAAACAAAAACCCACTAATCCCCACACAGTGATCTTCAGTGATCTTCAAATGAGAGTGCTACGGAATCCCCAGGAAGATTTAGGCTGCTCTCCTCTACGGTTGAGCTTCTAGCTTCTAGGACAGAACTAGGAATGTCCACAAGGGGCTAGTAATCCAAGAGCCAACTGAGAGACTCCCTGATGGAGGAGGCCATCTCAGGAGGCTTTTGTTTCAGATGTCACCTTCTTTTCTAGATGAAACCAGTGGGCCACAAAGATGAGCTAATTGATGCAGTGGAGAGGAAGACGAACTGCCCGTCTCAGGTAGGAGACACCAGACTGGGAGACAAGGGTGGCCACATGGACTTAACTGAAAAGTGGAGTCTTACTGAGACATTATCCCTGAGAGTCTTAGCTCTGTTGTTCTGGACCTGAGCACAGGTTGTACATGTAGCTGTCATAAAACTTATTCCTGTGGACTGTGAGAGCAGTACTAGCAGAGCAAAGGCCCTCCATACCTGTGGGAGTCAGGAACAAAGCCACAGCTCACCTGGCCTTCAGCTATGGCCCCACTAACATTCTTGGGGGGCCCTGGTGCCACTTCAAGGCCTTCTTCTACCACAAGAGGCAGAGTTGATGAGTTCCTAATGAATCTTGAAGCCTATATCCTAAATATGTGCCCAACATGTAATAGATATATAGGTAATCTTTCCAAATACATGGATGAGGAAATAACAAAACATCAACGGGTGGGGGGGGGGGAATTCCTTCTCTTGAGGAATGCAGGTTGATGGGGGTGGGCACTTTCTTGATGAGTTAATAAGATTGTTGTGACTAGGCAGACCTCTTTGCTATGACTTCCAAGAAGCCCAAAATGAGATCTTCTTCTGACTGAGGTACCTATGTTTAGCCTGTGATAGACCGCTGAGATGAGGGAGAGGGAGAGGAAGAGAGCACATCAGGGATGGCTGGCTTGTGAATGGGCCATTTCAAAGCCCCAGGGACCTTCAGGGGCAGGGTAAGGTTTGGCTTCATGGAGAAGATGGTATGTGTAAGAATGAAGTGTTAGAGTCCAGCCACTGCCCAGGCCACAACACACGCAGCAGCCTTTTCCCTATCACAGAAACTGGCAGGCACCTGCTGAGTCCCTAGCTAATAGACCTCTAGGGCCAGGGTCTCTTACCTTGGAAGTGAATTTATAGCCAAGGGGGTAGTGATCACACACCCTCTTCTCCAGCCCTTTCCCTGGCTCCTGTCTGGCTTGCAGGCTTATACTGTGACATCTCTCCCCAACCTCATCTTGCCACTTGGGCTCAGTACCTCGCTTCAAAGATCCCCACCATGCTGGTGCTGGGCTCTAAACTGTCCTCAGAACCCTGCCATGAATGTTGTCTCTGTCTCCTTATCTGTGGCACTCCTAACTTTAATAAACTCTATACTCTCCACACTCCTTCTCAGTATCTCTCGTGAATCCCACCCCCACCCTGCTGCCACCTGAAATCTTTCAACATGAATGTTCCAGTTAACCATATCGGTGATGACTGGCTCTATTATTATGATATGGGGAGCTCTGGGTCATGGCTTCATGTTACCTTTCTCTGCAGGAGAGCCCCTATCTGTTCACCTACAGAAATAGCAACTACCAGACCAAACAGCTGAAACCCGTTGCAAAGCTTCAGGTAAGGGAAGGACAACTGGAATCTTTGTAACCTTCTACTTGGTTCTCTGTCCTGAAAACTCCATTTGCCTCTGGGAATGCTGAAAGCTTCAGAGTTAATGGAAACTGCAGCAGGTACCTGGAATTCAGACAGGTCAGACCTTGGGAGTCGGTAAAGGGCCTCAAGTGTATGTGTAACTTTCTTTGGTGGCCTGAATCCACGCCCTAGACCTGTCTCCATGTGTCTCTCATGGCATCATGCAGTCTTGGGATCCCATGGTACTGTGACAAGATACCTCAGACCTCAGAAATCTCTGGCTAGTCTTTGAACCTTTAATCTGAAGAGAAAGAAAATAAAATTGTCAGGGAAGGGGGAGAAGTGGATTGAGGTCTGGATCCAGGTGGTTTGGGGACTAGAAAGCCTTAAAGTCTACCTGTACCCACACTGTTCACCTTTCATCGAGTCTTGGTTATGGTTTATCTCAGAGTCGCCTGGATTCTTCCTGCTGAGATTAGATAGGACACTTTGCACTCCTCAGGAGATACAAACACCAAAAGCGTGACGTCTTTGTTCTCAGGGAACCAGGGCAAAGGTAGATAAAGATGACTTGACCCTTCCTTCTCATGGGAGCATTCACTCCAAGCGGTAGCATGAACCTCTACTCTTAAAGAAACCCAATGTGAAAGATTTCTGAGTTACCAATAGGCCCATGTTTTCTTAAAAGTTTTTTGTTGTTGTTGTTTTGGATTTTGGTTTTTTGGAGACAGGGTTTCTCTGTATAACAGCCTTGGCTATCCTGGAACTAGCTCTGTAGACCAGGCTGGCTTTGAACTCACTGAGATAAGCCTGCCTCTGCCTCCTGACCACTAGGATTAAAGGTGTGCGCACCACCACTGCCTGGCTGGGCCCCATATTTTCTAATATCATAGATGCACCTAGAAGAAAGCAGACACAGTGAGAGGAAGCCACTATTCTATGTTCAAATCCATGGTCTTCCATATCCTGGCTCTGTGTCAATAAGCAAGGTCCTTAGCCTCTCTGTGCCTTTGGTTTTTCATTGGGGAAGCAGTGAGATAACAGTCTTACTGCATAGCGTTTTAAAGTGCATTAAGAAAGAGAAGCACTTATTCCAGGGTCTGGAATGCAGTGAATCCTATTGAAGTGTTGATATTGCTTTCTATGTATTGCTAATTTCCCTCAGGTTACATTATTAAGTCTTTCCTGCACTTCTAGAATGCAAGCTCAGAGAGGCCAGGACTCAAGGTCACTGTTGAGGTGTGACCTGTTAGGTGACTAAGTAGATGGATAGAGGGATTCTAGACACGAGACTTTAAAACACAAATAAAATAATACTGCTGGTCCAAAAGGACACAGTTTGGTAGAGAGACACATACACCAGCCAGCAATTACATTCACTGTAATAACAACTGCAATTAAAAAATTTGTGTTGGGTCTTCTGGGAATACAGAGGAAGAAAAACTAACTCAGAAAGTTAAAGATAACTTTCCTAAAGGTACCCATGGTCTTGGTTTTGAAGAATGACTAGGGATGAGTCTAGTGGATAGAAGGGTAGGAAAATGGAAGAGAATAAAAAGAGTAGGGCGATGGCTTAGGCAAAGGCTCAGGGGTGTGGGAGAGTATCAAGACCTTGGGCAAGGACAGACTAGAGCGGGGAGATGTTATGATCAATGGATTTTATGCTGAGGTTGGTACACAGTTGCTATTTGTTTGTTTAATAAATCATATTGTTTTCTATAATGCTTGGCACACAATAATAAACAGCATAGACAGAATGATCTGACTCCACTGAGAATTTATGCAGGGGAGGGTCACAGTTACATCTTCCTGAGAGAGGGGCCACTGTGAATGGAGAGGAAGTGACAGTGTTGAGGACCACAACATTCTGAGCAAGAGTATTAAAGGCTCGAGCTCAGGTGAAGGAGGAGGAGGAGACAGATCAGAGCAATGTGTTGTAGACAGTGAGCTCTGAGGTTGAAAGAGCGAGATCTTAACAGACATGATAGTTCCATTCTGTTTTAATTGTAAGTGGTCAATTCCACCTCCACCCTCTACTCCCAGGCTCTACTCCAGATGTTTGTGTGTGTGTCATTTCAGGTGAGAGAAGGTACAGAATTCAGCTGTTCTGACAAGAAGCCCTCGAACACAGTCCCCACAACAGGTACATGGTTATTATGTTCAGTGAGTTTTCAATTTACTTGAGGGCTGAAATCCAAGTCACAGCAACTTTAAGATGGCAAGGATTCCAAAGCTCTAAGTCAAGATGGGTGAGAAGGTCCAAGACAGTGTTTATGGCCCTGTGTGGTGCCATAAGGTCATGTTTATGCCTGGTTATTCTTTAACTAAACTAATAGCATCATTATCAGAAAGCATTTATTGAGCATTGACCCCATGTCAGGCCATGTTGTACAAGAAGCCTAAGAGGAGTTGTTCCTATCTTAAAACCTTGATGGGTGGATTTGTTCACTTAAAAAAATTACTTTTAAACAGAAAGCAAAATTAGCCAATCCCATACTTCTTACCCAAGGAATGTGCAGAATGTGTTTAAAGGCTACACAGAACAGGGAGGCCCAGCAGAATAAAAATGTCATTTCTCACGTGGTTCTTCCCTTTCCCTTCCTTCTGCCTTCACTCCTTTCTCTTTTTTTCCTACCTTCCTTCCCCCTCTCTCTCTCTTTCTCTTTCTCTCTCTTCCTCCCTCCTTCCCTCCCTTCCTTTCTACTTTCCTTCACTTTCTCTCAAGTCAGGGTTTTATCTATGTGGTTCTGGCTATCTTGGAACTCACTCTGTAGACCAGGCTGGCCTCAAACTCACGGAGATCCACCTGCCTCTGCCTCCCAAATGCTGGGCTCTGGATATGAGACTCATGGAATGTTCTAGGTAGTCATTAACTATCTTCCTAAAGAGGAAGCTTCTTAAGTACTGCAGTTTTCTTTGCAGGTGAAGTAGCTTGGGGAATGATGTCTGTACAGATGGGAAGTCACACGAAGGTCTTAGTGGGACCCAGGTGACTCAGAACCTTAGCTAAGACATTAGTGCTATAGGCTCTCATGCTGAGCACTGGGGGTTAATTAAATATGCTCATTTCTCAGTTTGCTTGCTTGTTCATTTGTTGGCAAATTGTTGAATATCTCCTGTGAAGCCATTCAGGAGTGTCTGTCCTAGCTGATCTAATTTAGTTTCTGACCTGGATTACTGAAAAGAAAGTTGAATTTGGAGAAGTCACAATAACTATAAGGATTCTTGCATTTGTTGTGATATGTCTCCTTGTGTTGTGAGCAGGGCAAATTAAGTACCATAGCTTGACTTGCCTTTCCCAAGCATCTTGCCTTTGCACACGGAGATTAAGACATATGATTGTCAAGTGAGTTAAAGAATCTTCTCAGCAGAGCCTGGATGCAAAATTTCTTCTTCTTCAAAGTTGTAACAGAATAGGCAATTGGATTTAATCTGTTACCTCTTACTGTAAAAAAATAACTGAAGCTGGGACCTTAAAAGAAATCTACTTAACCCACAGTTTTGAAACCTGAATATCCAACATTAGATAGCCTGTCTCTTTGGCGATGCCCCCTGTGGCAAAGTTAAAACATGGTAGAGAAATGGGAAGAGCATTGACAAAACAAGTAATGTGTTGGGGTTACCACCCACTCTCATAAGAACTAATTCACTTTGCACAGCCAGCATTAACCCTGTCCAAGGGTAGCTCCCAGCTCCCAGCTCCCAGCTCCCAGTGACTTTGCAATAGGCCCAGCTCTTTAGTCTGTACCTCTTCTACACCACCGTATTGAGGACCAAACCTCTAGAATTGAGTATTTGGAGGACCACATCCAAGCCCCACAGAAGTGGTACAGATCTTATACAAAGATGAATTTAGTCTTTAGACTCCTTGCTCCTATGTTTGATGACACTGCATTCCTATTGAATTATTTACTAGTCGGACTTTAACAGCAGAAAGAAATGATCATCTTTATACATGTGTCCTCCCATAGTAAAAACCCTTATTTTAAAACATGATAGAGGTGTATGTATAGAGATATGCATATATCTAAATGGAGATATAATATCAGCTTGGAGGTTTTAATAGTCTATTTTAATCTTATCATTCTGAAAGGATGCCATGTAAAGTATTTTGCAATCTCCCTAAACTGTTCCTGTCATGGCAACCATCCATTAGAACCTATCTCCACATCTAGAACCAGATAAAGTACAGTCTTTCCCTTACTCACTGACCCTGGTGACCATTATGTTTATGAGTTCTTGAAGGATTCAAGAACTGGAGATCTCAAGACTTTGCAATCTGAGATACCTCAGTGATAGGCACTGTTTAAGTAAACAGATAGTTGATCCAAGCCTCCACTGAGCTACCCAAAGGGCATAGGACTGAACCACGAATGTTTGTCCAGTGAAATTGACACTCATTTAAGAGTATTGGGCTAGACCTCTGAGTCCCCTGGAAGGTATCCATCAGGAAAATAGCCACAGATAAGTGGGCAAGAAGGAAAACACACTTCATTTTTGTACCACTGATCTATGAGTATTCTAACCATATTTACAACTGAAGTATTTCCACATTTAAAGAACAAAAAAGGGCTGGGCATTGGTGGTGCACACCTTTAATCCCAGCACTTGGAAGGCAGAAGCAGGTGGATCTTTGTGAGTTCAAGGCCAGCCTGGTCTCCAGAGTGAGTGCCAGGATAGGCTCCAAAGCTACACAGAGAAACCCTGTCTTGAAAAACCAAAAAAAAATAAAAATAAAAAAAAGGAACCCTCAGTAAAAGACACATTACTGTTTGATTGTTACCATTTTCTGGTCAGTTCTTCTCCTCTTCTGGAGACCATGATTGCTAATTGAAATGAGATCAAATGAGACTATATCCTGTTAGAGTTGTCCATTTCTTACACCTCCACTGGCTTAGCAAATGGGAGGAGCCACTAAATACTTACAGAGCATCTCTGACTTACTGAGAATTTTAAATTCGTCCAGTGAATTTTCAGAGTTGATATGTCAACTAGGCTACAGTATCACCACCCAAATATTGTCACTAAGACTATGGTGTAAAGCAACTATTTTGCCTTGCCAATTATTTCAAGCCCCTTTTTGTAGTCCTCTCCTAGTATATCCCCTCAATCCACAGATGCACAGATCAAAATATTACAAAATGGGTAACTGCCTGTCATCAGAGGCTTGGTCCCTGGTGGCCTAGGTGCCTGTTCTCACACACCAGAGCTTATGGGTGGTAGACCACATCAGCTGATCCATGGGACTTTGGGGATGAGCTGTAGAAAGTTGGTGTGAGTCATTTTTTATGGCCCATTAGCATTTGGAATTCAATAAAGGTAAAAGGCTTGCCTGTATACCTGGAGAGTTTGCAAAGTGCTTTATGGCTTTATAAACACTGATATCGATATTAGCTGTCCCTTCCTCTCATATAGCTGGATGACTTAAATATCTACTTGGGGGTTTACTGCTGACTTAAGTTTTTTCCAAAAGTAAGTAGCATTGAGGACTGAGAGGAGGCGTGGCTCATTGGCTCTCCATTGAAGATAATCTGCTAATTTTAATTCCATGCAGTGGGAATAACCTGTAGCTTTCGACACTAGGAGGCACCCGACATTATGTGTATGTGGCTATCACCAGCAGTATGAAACAAAAAAGTACACTCGCTTAAGCCACTGATTCTTTCTAAACTCCCAATACTGTTTGTTTACCCTGGGTGAGTAAATTGAGCTCTCCCAAAGCTACAGTGAGAAATGACCATGTTCCAGCAGTAGGCAGTCGCTTGCCAGACCTTTTACCTCTTGTGACCCAATAGCTAGTGCTCAGTGGAGGTTGTGGCTTGGTGTAGCCTGCCATCAGCAAGAAATGTTGCCTCATGGGGACTAAGAGTCTGCCTGTCCCTCAATACAACCAGCCTACTGAGCAAATTCAGATTCTTCCCCAAGAGGCTCACTAAGCTAAGTGTTTTCCTATCCCAATGTTATTTTAAAAATACATGTAGTATGCTTAAACAAATAAAAACAAATTGAGGATTTGATGAAGGAACCACCAAAATGCTAAAGAATCTTGTGTAACTTTGAAATATGAAAATAGGATTGTGAAAATTGGTACCCTAATTAAAAGGGGAAATAGTTCTTGAAAACAGGATCCCTGTTGATACGTTAAACAACATAGACAAAAGAGTAGAAATGAAATTGGTGAACTGGAGGGTAGATATGAGGACATTGTTTGGAAGTCAGCATCCATCGAGGTTTAAAATTGTAGAAATGAGAAGGTCCAATAGATAAGTCAGTGGAGTTAGCCTTCTACATCCATAGTTTCCACATCAGCCCATTTAAACAATAGTGGCTCAGAAATGCTTAGACAAAAATTGTCCCATTTATTGTGAAGTTACAGGCTTTGTTTTTATTATTCCCTAAACAATCCATTATCATGTTTTCTTTTTTGAGATATAATTACATCATTTCTTCTTTCTCTTTTCTTCCCTTCAAACCCTCCCTTATATCTTCCTTGAACCCCAAGTTTCTTATTTAAACCTTGAGATCTGTAAAATTGCTATCACATAATCTTTCACTCAAGGTAATGTTTTATCAATATTTTATAGCAAATACAGAGTAATCATTGATATTTTGGGGGTGCAATGTGGTCTTTCAATACATGAATACAATGTATAACAGTCAAATCTGGGAAACTGGCATATATATCACCTAAGGCCTGTGTCATTTCTTAGTGAAATTAGTGACTTTCTTGCACTCCTACTATGTGCAAGGTGCTCATTTATCCATATACACTTAGATTAAAATCTCCAAAGGAATGGAGTTTTATTCTAATGTCAGTAAATTACCATCATTGTGGAAATATTTTCATAAAATCCTTAAAATTGCAGAACAAATGGATTGGGAAGCCCTAGCTAAAAAAGAAAGCAAATTGACTTTTTAGATTACAGCACTGGATGATTCAAGTTGTTGGGCTATTCAAGAATAAAACACCAAACTGCTAATTGTTGACTACTCCTGAGTATGGCTTTTCATGGGCAGAGGCCATTTCCCCATCTTTACTCTGATGTAAGCTGTTCACTGTCCATAATACCACACCAAAGCTTGGATGGCCTTCTGATAAAGACTCTGTAGGAATGTCCATGAGTAACATGAGTTAATGATGAGTATCAAACTTCTTTCAAGGTAGTGAACAGTTCATTCCAGATAACATTTATCTAATCAGGTCACATAAATTTAATCTTATCTCAAAATAGTTGCCTTTCCAAAGAGAGCAATTGCTAAAGTATTTTACTAAATTTTCTGAGTCTTTATCATATGTGATGGTGTTAATAAACCTCAAACCAGTGTCTACAGAATATTAAACCAAAGAAATACATGGCCTGTATCCTAACAATCAAATGCCAGATAAGCCAACTCCTTCTACCAAACCTCGCTTCATATGGCCTATAGTCTCTCTGGCTGAGAATACAGAGTGGCCAATTAAAGAAGCCACTCAGAAACAAGCTTCACACACACACACACACACACACACACACACACACACACAGTAGGGGGAACAGAGAAGATCTGTATATGTGTGCATATATGTGTGCAAATTTAAGAGGTAACTATAATCTGTTTGAGCTGCTTTTTATATTTGTAAATTTTATTTTGCATGCACATGTATAAATGTGTGTGGTCATGCTTGTGCGGTGGAGCATGTGTGGAGGTCGGAGGTCCACTGACAGGAGTTCTCTTTCCACTCTGTGGATCCTGGGGGCAAAATTTGGGTCTTTAGGCATGGTGGCAGGAGTGTTTTACCCACTAAGCCATCTGGGCCTTTTTTTCTCAGCCTAAAAAAAACGTTGGAGCTGTGGAGGCAAATCTGCCCATTGCCTTCACGTTTTACCAACTCCAAAGACTTGTCCTAGCCTTTGCATACAAGTCGGCATTCAGAGAATTCACTATTATGGCCCTGAGAATATAGTAATTGACTGTCGTCAACACAAGCTAAAATAACCCACTTTAGAGTTGAGGGGATGGATCTTATTTTCTGGTGTGCTTTTCCCCCTTCCCACCATAGCCTGATTTCTTTGGAAAGAGGTCATTTTAAAGTTTCCACGCTTAGCCCTGTAGGCGTGTGTTAATGTGTGCAGCTGGGTTTGTGATTTGATATTGTTCTGCTAACCACACAGAGTAGCTGTGGAAAGCTGGGAAAGGCCACGTAGGCTGTAATCACGTAATAGAGAATGTGCGTGTGCGTGCACGTGTATGCGGTGAATTCAAGACGTGATGATGGGGGAAGGAAGACTCTAAAGATACTTAGTGACTGTAGAATCTCAAAACAAGATGTCAAAAGCCACCATCAGGCTTTGCAATGGCAGCCAGTTGTGTGAGCAAATTTGTACCTAGACCTTGAAGGAAACAGTTACTGTCCCTTCTACAAATGCAGAAATGGACCACTGCCCATGGCTTCAAAATGAAAAAGCATTTCTCCATAGTTCTCAAAATGTGGTGCCCAGACAGCACTGGATGCAGCCACAGGGTCTAAGGGATTAGTTAAACGAGCAAATTCTTAGACTCACTGAAGACCTAGTGAATCTAAAGCTCTTGGGAGTGGGGGAGGGGGGTCATGTGTGATTTAACAAGCTCTCCAGGTGACTCAGAAGACTGCTAATCTATAGTCTCACAGGCATGCATTGTTAGTTAATACCGTGTCCTCAGAAACCTCAGGGGCTTTTTCCAATGAAAATCTTCAGTGGGGGTGGCAGTTGCTACTCTGCAAGAAGCATGAACGTGGTAGAGGTTTTTCCATGGAAAGACAGCTGAGATGTATATGATCACCCGTCCTCTGGAGTGCGATGCCACCTGAAATTACTCATGCCTGAGTTGGCTGCTGGTGGGAGTAAGGAATGCCACTGTGAAAGCTAAGTTTCTTAACTACTTTCCTGAGATACAGGGAAAGTAAGTCCAGAGTCTCCCCCAAACCCTCATTTTCAATTTACCCCAGATTTGCTTTTTAGTTCACAGGCTGAGGCCGGCTGACATCAAGGTGATTGCAGCAATGGGTGACTCTCTTACGGTAGGTGGCTTCAACTGTAGAAGGAGTAGGAGATTTTGTTTACACTTTTGAGACTGGGTTTATGTACCTCAGGCTGGCCTCAAATTCACTACGAAGCTGAGTCTGGCCTTGAACTCCTGATCTTCCTGTATCTACCTCCCAAATGCTGGGGTTATAGTTGTGGGCTACTGTGTCTAGCTGGGAGAGGAGATTTTAGTGAACATGAAAACGTAGGACTGAAAGTTGAGGTTTTAACCCTAGCCTGTTTCTGGTCCTGATCTCCAAAGCCTCCCTCCAAGCCCAGCCACCATGCCTTGCATAGTGTGATTTCCATTCCAGCCTCTACATTCCCTCTCCCAATGCTTCAGAAGTTGAAGGGACTTTGAGGGAACATGAGTGACAAAATGACATTACACAGCCCACGTCTGTAGTAGGACAGCATCTCCTGCCATGAGTGTCCCCAAAGGCCCAGCCAGTCCTGTTTGTCCATGTAGAAAAGCTAAGAGACTACTGCTCAAACAGGAAGAGGGATGATGAGCTAGGAGCAAGTGCTGATGGCTATGGAGGTGGGGGTGAGAAATGAGGGTCAGAGGAAGGAGAAGTTCCAGGGATGAACAAAACCCACCTCTGGAGCTGCCCTGTGGTGATACCCAAACAAAGCACACATTTAAAAAATCAACCCCCAAAGAATGGATAGAGAAATTGTGGTACATTTACACAATGGAGTACTACTCAGCAGAAAAAAAAATGGAATCTTGAAATTTGCAGGAAAATGGATGGAACTCGAAGAAACCATTCTGAGCGAGGTAACCCGATCACAAAAAGACAAACATGATATGTACTCACTCATATGTGGACCTGCTTTATGATACATAGTAGTGACCATGCTTTATCAGAGCTGTTTTTAATGTTGTTGCTCAGAATGGTTTCCCCCACCCCATACCTTCCTCCATTGTCTCCTAGAAGATGTTCTCAGGACAGAGAGCTGTAGAGAATCACACAGGCACTCAGGACTTCCTGGGGGAGGCAGCAAATATGGCATGGTGGCGGGTAGAAAAGGGAATTAGGACCAAACTGTAGTGAGCATAACCTGGAGATTTCTCCTAGAGTTCAGAAATATGTGCTTCAGGGGAGGAGATGCCCTGAAGTACAGCTTACTGCTGTTTCTCACCTGTTCATGCGTAGGATGTGATGCAGAAAAGTATAGCTCATGCATCCTTTGATTATATGTTTCACAACTTTCAAAAATGGATACAGCACCTTCACACATGTGCTTTTGAAAACTACATGCTATAAGCTGTGTAGCCCTCAATTGCTATCTAGACAGGGTTTCCCAGAAAGAGGTATAGCTATAGATGGCACCTTTCCCAGCGGGATTGCGCTCTCATCCCAGAAAAGGCAGGAGATGTATCCATAGGAGGTTCCATCTGGATTCGAGAACTTTCCTAGGCGCCCTGCCCAGACTAAGGGCATGGACAGCTAGCTGAGGGTCCTGAGCAAAAGCAGGGACACCCATCCACTATTTGCTTTCTCTTTCAGGCAGGCAATGGGGCCGGGTCCAAGCCTGGGAACGTCGTGGACGTCCTAACTCAATACCGAGGCCTGTCCTGGAGGTGAGCGAGGCACAGAAGGCCCTTGAGCCTTCTAGAAAACAGTACATCGAATGGGGGATGGGCTATAACAAACTTCTAAACTCTACTTACTGGCCTCCCCAAAAGACTACAGCCCCTATAACAGGAGGGAGGATGGGAATTTTGGGGAGTGAAGGTGCACAAGTGTTCCTAGAAACCAGTGCTGTCTCCTTTGGACTGACAAGGGGCTCTTTCAAAAAGGGCTTTTCCAAGCTAAGCAGGAACAGAAAGACCAGGGTAAGCTAGTGACAGTGATGGAGAAGCTAAGTGGCACCAGGCTGGCCACAATAGAAACCCTCTGGATCCGGAAAGGCAGTGGGAGTGGAGCTCAAAGCTAAAACTACAAGAGAAGCAGCAGTGGGGGTTTAAGGTCTTTGTCTATTTGCTACGGCGCCCAGGGAGAGAGGGAAGGAGTTGTGGTCTGATTTGGGTTTTCAGTTCTCGTGAAGAAATGATGGGTAAAGGACCCGGAGCTGTGATTCAGGAGGGAAATCTGTTTTGTTTAGGCTTGGCTGGCATTTTCAACATTCATTTTCTTTCCTCCTCCTCACCAACAGCGTCGGAGGAGATGAGAACATCAGGACCGTGACCACCCTGGCCAGTGAGTAATTGGTGCTTTGGGGCAGGCAGGGTGGCTACTCCTGAGGCCACTGTGCCCCCTACTGGCCGCCACCAGCCTCACAAGCCAGCAGGACGCAGCTGAGTGCAGTAGGGGGCGCTGCTTGCCCGTGGCTGCCATCCCTGCTTGGCTCTTCATTCAGCTAATTAGTGTTTTTCAACGGGAAATCATCTTTATCCAAAAAATGAATTGAGTGAGACAAGAAAAGAGAACGTAGACCAAATCTTAGAGCAACCATTTAAAAGTGGTCCAATAAAGGATTGGCCTGCCATTCTGGACACAGAGTCTATCTGGGAAATTTTCCACCTAGGCCTGGGAGGTTTGGGCATCTGTTCACAAGGACCTTGCTGTAGCAATTGCAGCAGCAAGAGACAAAGTTACCTTGCTCATGCTGTGTAAATACAGCCGTATTGGGGTTTTCAACATTTTCCTTAATGCTTTGCCAACAACCCACTCGGATGATTTTTTTTAAAGCCTGACTACAGTTTTCAGAGGGGGGGTCTCTCTGCCTTTAATCTTTTTGGCTATGGATGCTAGCAATGATTTCCATAATGTTGTTTGATTCATTATCATTAGTACTGCCCATCCCGGTGTTTATTCTTATTGTTTTGTTTTTGTTTTTGTTTTTCTGAGACAGAGTTTCTCTGTGTAGCTATGTAGGCCAGTCTGGACTCGAACTCACAGAGATCCGCCTGCCTCTGTCTCCTGAGTGCTGGGATTAAAGGTGTGCATCACCACTGCACCCAGTGTTCAGAGTTTATTTTTAAGGCACACTTTCTTTTAATAAGGTGTTGGACAATATTTACCATGAATTTTTTTCTTCTTAGAAACTCCTAAGGATTTTGCCTGCGGGGGAGGGGACTAGTTGGTTTTATTCTTACTGCTTTTTTGGGTACATATCCCTTTGGTACATATTTTGGGCCAAGACATTAGTTGAGTTTTAAGCCAGCAAGGTTAGACAGTAGGGATGGATGCTTAACTTACCCATTAGCACACCTGATCCGACTTCATGTCTATTTTAGTTCTTAGAAAACTGTGAATTTAAATAGGTACAGTTCCGTGTCGTGAGTATACCTGTCCCCTGTTGCTAAGAGGTGACTTGGGCTGCTTCTGTGAGTGTGGTGATCTTGGTTTTGAGATGCCCTGGCAAGATGGCTGGATATCATACTGTTCAAGATCATTCACAAATGACGGAGGTGGCGTCACCCCCAGGTGGCCTCCCCTGACACACTTAGCCTTTCAACCTTCGGTCCTAGTGGGAGGGAGTGGCCTGTAGAGCTGCTTGGTTCAGGGTAAAACAACTGTGTAGAAATGTGCTGTGACAGTGCAAGGTCAGGACAGAACTTCTGCCCAGTGTCCTGCTTGGTTTAACCTGGCAGATGCTCCAGCATAAGGGGTGTGGGAGACAGAACTCTGCCCTGATGGTATCAGCCAATCTCCAGGGCAGGGCGTGCCACCCTAAAGACAAACGCACAAACTGATGATCAGCAAGTGTGGGTGAAAAGGTCTGCAAAGGGGAAAATAGTCGGCAAGGAAATCGAGATTTACGGGGAATAGAAATGTCAGAAATGAAAATCTCAGTGAAATCAAATGATAGTGGAAAGTATTGCCAATATCTATAACCCTCAAAAAGAAAAAATATCGAGGATGGAGGACAAGATTAATGAAATCTTTGATTGAGTATCAATAAAAAATAAATGAGTATGGCCATAATGTCTAAGAACTCTGGGATATGATCAAGAGGCCAAACCTGAGTGGATCACATAGAAGATGAGATAAATACTAAAGCAATGCAGAATTATCCAGTATAATTTATAGCATAAGGTTTCTCAAGTTTAGAGAAAAATATTCAAAGACATGAGATATTTAGAATCCAAAACCAACATGACCAGTGAACCACAATGTATTATAGACAGTATATCAAAAGTTAAAAAGCAAAGAAATATTAATAGCTGTAAGGGGGAATGCCAACTCACACACAAAGGCAAGTCCAGCAGAACAACAACAGGTCTCATTAGCCACCATAAAAGTCAGGAAAGTGTGGAATTGTATATTCAAGCCCTGAAGGTAAAGAACTGCCAATCAAAATTGCTGAATCCAGCAAAACTATCTTTAAAAATCGATGAAAATAACATTTCAAGAAGAAAATGAAGAAACTAACTTTTCGATGAATAAAAGTCCTAAACCAGACAGATTCACTAATGAATTCTACCATACCTTTGGAGAAGAGCTAACAGCAGTCCTAACCATCCCAAAAAGCAGAGGGGACAAGAATACCACCTACCTGGAGCTACACGGCAAGCATCATCCTCACACCAACCCTGCTGAACACAGGGTAGCATAAAAAAGACCCATTTCCTTTGTGATTACAGATGCAAAAAATTTCAACAAAATACTTGCAAATGAAATTCAAGAACACATTGAAACCATATGCAAGTCTGTTTCATTCCAGAGATACAAGGTGCATTGACATATACAAACTAGTACAGACACACAATCATCTCAGTAGACAATAAAAATCCTTACAGAAACAAGTGCCTGAAGGGGAAAACCTCAGTGTGTAAATTACTATGTGCTGTGCCTAATGTAAAGCAGAGGTTCTCAACCTATGGGTTGTGACCCCTATGGGGGTTGAAGGACTCTTCACAGGGGTCACCTAAGACCATCCTGCATGTCAGGTATTTAAATTACAATTCATAACAGTGGCAAAATTACAGTTATGAAGTAGCAAAGAGAATAACATTATGGTTGGGGGTCACCACGACATGAGGACTATATTCAAGGATCGCAGCATCAGAGAGGTTGAGGACCTCTGCTGTAAAGTCTGAGGCACCCAGCATTCTGTTCCATGCTGGGCTGTGCTTTGTTCTCCACACCCAATGGTCAAAGGGACTTGACAGTTGGCTATGTAATTCCAGCACTCAAGAGGCTTAGGTAGGAAGATCACCAGTTCAAGGATAGCCTGGGCTATACACAGGTGACCCTGTCACAAAACAATGAAAGAAAGGGGCTTGGGAAGATTGCTTTGGGGCCATTGGTAAACATGTCCCTTGTATTTCCAGATATCCTCCGAGAATTCAACCCCTCTTTGAAAGGCTTCTCTGTTGGCATAGGGAAAGAAAACACTGCTGAAGCATCCTTCAACCAGGCTGTAGCAGGAGCCAAAGCTGAGTGAGCCTGAGTGTCCTGGGGGGGTGCAAGTTGGGGAGGACAGAAGTGGGGGTGTCTGGGAGAGTGTGCCTTGGCTGGTTGAAAATCTTGGTCTGGGTGAAGAGTCAGGGTGAGAGGCTGGAGTGGGCACTCTTGGGGATGTCCTTTGAGGTCAGACACACAAGTCAGGCAGAGTACACTCAGCCCTACACTAGCAACTAATCAAATTCTTCTGATGCCCTGTATACACTTCAAGTACATCACCTGGTCTCATCTCTAATCCTTATTTCCTCATGAAGCAGTGTCTGTGAGTGGACTCATGAGGAGTCCCCATGATTAGCTGGCTGCTATAGGTTTTGAGTCTTTTGGGGAGTGGGGTTGAGACAGGGTTTCTCTGTGTAGCTTTGTAGACCAGGCTGGCCTTGAACTCACAGAGATCCACCTGCCTCTGCTTCCAAGTGCTGGAGTTAAAGGCATGCACCACCACCACGAGGCTGTTTTTGAGACTTACACTCCATGCCTTCCTTACACTCCAGTTTGGGCTCTGCACTCACTCTGAGTGCTTTCTGTGCCATAGGAAGAACACTAGCATGGGAAGCAAAGCCCTGAATGTCAGCTATTTCTTCCTTGGCCTCTTCAAGCCTCTGAAGCAAAGAGACAAGGCTGGTGCAAGCCTCTCTCCACAAACCATGGAGATTGTGAGGTTGACACCATCTTGGATTCGAAAGCTCTCAGGAGCTGTAACCTTGCATGGATTGGCTGAGGAGGGTGCCCAGCACCTAATTCAGCCAGGCTGCAAGGCTCCCCTGAGGAAATGTCTAGTGACTCAGAGATCATGCTCCATGGTGTGACTGACCAGATGGTCTCTAAAAACTAGCAGGTCAACCTTCCTGCCCCCCTCCCCACTGCTTGCATACTATTCATGGACGTTCAGAGTCAAGGGCCTATGAGTAATGACAGAAAGTGTGGCTCATGAGGCCTCGAATCTGTGACCATACTTTTCCCTAGGCCTTAGGAAAGACATCCAGATGGCAGAGAAAAGTAGGGGCAGGGGGCGTGTTCTCATATTACACTTGAAACTATAGCACATAGAAGATATATAGCCTGAACAGATACAGCAAGCTGACCCCAGGGTCTGGCCTTGGGTCTTATAGACTTTATTCCCTTCATATTCACACAGCAGTTAGAGAATACCTTCATGGCTGTCATCCTTGTGTTCCACACAGTAATTCTGTGAGGTGGACAACACAGAGGGGTTATTGCCTGTGTTTTTTTTTTTTTTTAATCAGTGATTAAAAACTAAGCCTGAGATCATGGAATGCCCATTCCAAACTCAAAGTCAGAGGGGCTGCCCTGATGATGTCACATCCACTGATGAGAAACAGGTTAAGTGACTGACTCAAAGACCCCATCCCAGGTGTCTGATACCCAGTGTTCAGAGCAATTGGGTTAGTAGTTAAGACAGGGAGGACCTCGGATGTTGCCTGCTGGACACGGAGCTGGAGGAACTTTGCAGATGGTGACAGTGCTAGTGACAATGGAAACCATTCTAAGGAGGCTTGCCTTGTGTCAGGCACTAAGTTCTTTATGTCACCCTCAACTGAGTCAACTCCATGAAGAACGCAAGGCCACTGTTTTATTTACAAAGGAAAGCATTGTGTTTGTAAGGTAAAGATTTCAGAAGTTGGTCATGGGGAGACCTGGGATTGAAACCCATGCTATCCAGCAGAGTAGTAGCTCTGATTCCAAGGGTCTGCTTGAGTCTTATTCACACCCTCAATGACTTTCCATAAGCAGGTTGATCTCTGTGTTACAGTTTTTGTTTGACAGTGTGGAGACTGAGCCTATGACCTTGTCCAGGCTAAGCAAACACTCTGCCACTGCACTTATCCTCGGCTCTGTAGTCATTTTAAACTGAGATCACCTTGTCTGGTAAGGGGGGCCATGGCATCTGTTAATATGGGCATGAGTTGAGTGGCACATGACATAAAACATGTATGTGAGACTTATGCCTTGAGCAAGCCTGGCTTGGAATAGAGACCAGAAATACATCATGGAGCTTATGCCTTGAGCAAGCCTGGCTTGGAATAGAGACCAGAAATACATCATTAAATACACCCACCAATCTGAAAATAAACCCACTGAGAGTCAACCCTCAAATGCACAAACTTCTGCCCTTCTCAGAGAGTCAGTCCTCCCCAGTAGAGAAGAGCCTGGGTAGAGAAGAAGCTCTGTGTGGTGGGGCTTTAGTCCTGCCCCCTCCCACCCCCAAAGTCAATTGCCAGTCAATACTGTCTGTCGTTGATCCTCATGCATCTTCTTACTGTGTGTTCCCACAGAGGCTTGGTTACCCAGGCCCAAAGGCTGGTGAGTCTGATGAAGGCAGACCCGGTAAGTCAGGCACATCAAGGTGGGACTCCCTAGAATGGAAGATGAATTCATAGACACAGAGAAGTCAGTAGTAGGGCAGGAGGTGCAGAGGATCCAGGCCAGGTTTCTAGCAGATCTGAGCCCTGTGCCTCTCTGTTCCTTTGCAAATAGAGTTCCCATCACTGTATTAGTCAGCTGTACAGAGTAACCATGAATTATCAGTCAAGGCTGGGGCTGTAGATACATGAGGACAATACAACAAGGTCCCATCCACCAAGAGTTTATAAGAGGAGACCAATATCGAAGGATCAAGATTATGAAACAGTTGACTCATGCTTTGTAAAGAGAGTTATGCATAGAGCAGAGGAGGGCACAACAGGGATAGGGCCCCTGCTTGGGAGGGTTCAGGAGGGAGATAGAGTTGTTTGAGCTGGGTTCTACAGATGAATGTAAGATTGTCTCTCAGATAAGAGAGAGGTGCAGGCTCAGTGCAGACCTGGTTTGGGAGGTGGTCTCAGGTGGATAAAATAGCAAAAGGTGGTTAAGATTGATTATTTTTATGTAATACAATGCACCCACAAAATATCCATTATCAAGAGAGTTTCAGAATGTGTCTGTGTCTACTGCCAAACTTTCCTGCATCTTCTTTCTCCCCTCCTATAATTCTTTTTCCATTTCATTTGGAAGCAGAAGCCAGAGAAGTGAAGCTTATGTGGGCCAAAGACAATGTAAGATACTGTGAGAGCCACAGCCACCCTTGGGCCATGGTGTGTGGAGTATATATATATATGCCCACATCTCTTCCATGCAACCCGATGACTTCAAACACTTCTCTAACTCTCTCGCATAGAAGAGTAGAATCCAGAGGTGGCAAACTATTCCCTCCATATTCTTGGAACTGCCATGTTGCTCTGACCATCTGGAACTTTATTTTTTCTTTTCTATTTTGGTATTTTTTTAAAAATACTTTGGATTTTTAAAGATTTATTTATTTATTTATTTATTATGTATACAACATTCTGCTTCCATATATATCTGCACACCAGAAGAGGGCACCAGATCTCATAACGGATGGTTGTGAGCCACCATGTGGTTGCTGGGAATTGAACTCAGGACCTCTGGAAGAGTAGTCGGTGCTCTTAACCACTGAGCCATCTCTCCAGCCCACTATTTTCATCTTTCGAGACAGGATTTCTCTGTATACCTCTGGCTGTCCTGGAACTCTCTGTAGACCAGGTTGTCCTTGAACTCAGAGATCCACCTGCCTCTGCCTCCCTAGCACTGGGACTAAAGGTGTGTGTCACTATGCCTAGCTCCAGCTGGGATTTTTCACAGGTGCCTTTAACTCATGTGAATATCTGAGTTAGGGACATTCCTTCTTAATGGAAGATGATCTGTCTTCTGTCAAGCTAATTGATTTCTAGAAGATTCTATCTCCCACCCACTTCTTTGCCATGCTAAAACCTGAGAGCAAAAGTCAGAGAGTTCCTGCTAGGTTGGCTGGAGACAGACCTATGCCCTACTGTGCCAAAAAATTTTGAACTCTCTGCTGTGTGGGAGACTGCCCCTTTGAGAGTTTTCTACTTGACCCTGTTGGTTTTCTATTCATTTCAGACAATAAACTTTCAGGAGGACTGGAAGATAATCACTGTGTTTATAGGAGGCAATGACCTCTGTGCTTCTTGCAATGACCTGGTAAGCTGTCGTTCCCACCCTCCCTCTCTCCCCGCCTTGCCCTGCCCCAGGAAGGATTGTAGTTGGCCATTGGCTCTTGGAACAGCATAGCTAGCTAGGTCAGGACTCTGTCCATGGCTTGGCATGGATCCAACTGAGGATCCATTAACCCTAAGACCCAGAGGACATTCACCTGGAAGACCAGGGGAGCCTAATCATATCATTCTAGAAAACAAGATAACCTTGTGTTGTTTGGGAAACTCTCACTTGTTTTCATAGCTAATTATAGGTTGGCTCCTCTCTGAAGCTCTTCCTGGCCTTGCCATCGCCACCTTTGTGCTGTCCCTAGAAAAAACGATTTCCCACAGAAGTGGTGAGGCAAGGCTCAGGTCTATACCTCTTGGGGCTGATGGGAAACCCACAATGGAGGCTGTTGATCCATGACTCCCAAGGCCCTCTGAAGGAAACCCCTCAAAACATACCACCTGTGAGTCTCTCTCTCTTTCTCTCTCTCTCTCTCTCTCTCTCTCTCTCTCTCTCTCTCTCTCTCTCACACACACACACACACACACACACACACACACACACACACACACACCTGAGCCACACGCTATGCCAGTGGAGAAACACAACCTCTGTCCTTGGGGTTTTCCTCAGTCAGGGGCCAAAAACAAGCAACTCTTCATAACACAGGACACATCACCATGGGGTTCTGATGGTTCATAAATAAGAGTCCACAGAGGAGGCTTGGTGTACAGACAGCATGGAGGTTCTCAGCATACAATGCAGCAGACCTGCCAATGGGGACTCAAGGCACATGTGTTGGGCAGGGAGTGAGGGACCTCAGGTAGCAGAGATGAGCTCATACCCAAAGGATAACCTGTCCCCAGCATCTTACAATGCACTTTCCTGGCATCAGAGTCACCAGAGGCTAGCAACTTTAAAGCTAAGATTTAAAGGGCCCTCAGGAGAACCGACAGGCTGCTGGGGACAGGTAAGGCTTTGGGACCTGGGCACTCCTCCCAACTTCCTGATAGACACAGATTTACCCTGTTGTAAAGTGGGGTTCTCAGGTAGATTTCATTTAGAAAAGGGGTTTCACTCCCATGCTCTGAAAATGGAACTGGGGAGATGGTCCAACAAGAAAAATGTCACCATGCAAGCATGAAGGCCTGAGGGAGAACTCTAGCACCCACAGAAGAAGCCAGTTGTGTCAGTGCATGCCTGGAACCCCAGTGTGCTTGTGTCTGTGCACTTCTGTAACCCCAGTGTGCTCATGTCTGTGCACACCTGTAACCCCAGTGTGCTCATGTCCGTGCACACCTGTAACCCCAGTGTGCTCGTGTCCATGCACACCTGTAACCCCAGTGTGCTCGTGTCCATGCACACCTGTAACCCCAGTGTGCTTGTATTCATGCACATCTGTAGCCCCAGTGTGCTCCTGTCAGGGTGCACCTGTAACCCCAGTGCTCAGGAGAGACAGAGGTATTCCTGTCTCTGGAGCTTGCTAGCCAACCAGTCTAGCTGAACAGTAAAGCTCAAATTCAGTGGAAGACCCTGTCCCAAAAGATGAGGCATGGAGAGCCACTAAGATAGGTACCTGCTGCCAGCCTCTGGCCTACATGTGCACATACATATCTCTCTCTCTCTCTCTCTCTCTCTCTCTCTCACACACACACACACACACACACACACACACACACACACACAGAATTCTAAAACCACTGATATAAAAATCAAAGTGTATTTATGTTTTGGGTCTCCACAAACCCCTCCTTTTCCCTCATTACATCCTTGAAGCATTTGCTTAGATGCGATCGATGCTAGGCACATGAGGCTCAGGCCAGACTCTGTGACCACACAAGAAGAGGGCAGATGATAGAACCAGAGACTGTTTACACTGCAGCACTTGAGGTCATCATCTGCTCCAACACCCCAACGTTTAGAGAGAAGTGATACGGCATAGCCAAGGCCCTACACCTAGTCAATACAAAGTCCATTCAAGTTTTCTCTGGCTCTAGGCAAAAGAAAGGACCCTTTCCTGACAGCCATAATGCGTTCAGGCATTGTAGCTAAGGCCCCCAAAGACAAATCATATGTTTCAATATTGCCAACTCTGAAATACAGAAAGAGGAGAAGCCACAGTGGGAAACAATGCTGCTTAATAGGGAGGAGATGGGTGACTCAAGGACCTCAGGAGCCTCTTCCTCTGCCTGCAGGTTCACTATTCTCCCCAGAACTTCACAGACAACATCAGGAAGGCCCTGGACATCCTCCATGCAGAGGTACGGAGCTTAGACCACACGGGCTGAGTAGCTGCATCACAGCCCTCTTATGTGGCCTCAGGCCTAGACACAGCTCTGGCTTCATTCTGAGACCACCTTGGCCATCGTCTGCCTGCAATGGCATCCTTGGAGAGCCAAGATGAGAGAAAGGAAGTGGGTGGGGCCAGGAAGAAGTCACATGATCTGAGCTCCAGCCCCCATGTGAGAAGCTGATGCTATGTCACCATGTCGTCTTGGTGACCGATTCTGTGTTTCTGCAGGTTCCCCGGGCCTTTGTGAACATGGTGGAAGTGATTGAGATCATCGGCCTGAGGGAATTGTACAAAGAAACTCAAGTCAACTGTCCACGGTTGATCCTCAGGTCTGCTGGAAACTTCTCCTGTGTTTCTGGAAGGGTTGTGGGCTTTAGCAGAATCCCCAGGGCAGAGTGTGGGGATTGTCAGGGTCACCCCACATTATCATCTGACAGGGAACATCTCAGGATTAAAAAAAAAGAAAATCAGTATAGGCTTCAGCAATCTCCCTGAGGGAGCACATATGGCATATCTTCCTGTTTCCATTGCCAAGGCAGCCACAGGACTTAGAGGATGTTAGGAATGGGGTCAGGTCATAGGTAAGACTTGGGGAGCACTCAGACCACTGCTAAGACCCATTTCCAGCACATCCAGAGCAGAGTGACCACCTCCCAGAGGCCTTTCCCCAGAACAGTGTCTCTGACCAGCATGTGTGCACTCCAGGTGGACAAACACAGGGCTACTGTCACTCCTTAGAAGAAAAAAGAGAGAGATCAGAGTCAGCGGGGTCCAGAGGACAGTCTTCTCCTCAGAAGGATGCTCTTGAGAGGCTGGCCTCAGCCTCCAGAACCAACCAAAGATGGCCTTCCTCTAGCACCATTATAAGTGTGTGTGACCTTAAGAAGGAAGCTGCTCTTCTAACCGAAGCATGACTATTTCCCACAAATTCTGCCCTGAAAGGCCTCCCCTGCACCATTTGCCCAGGTTACAGGGGCTGTGCAAACCTTTCTCCCCTGCCCTCTAGCTCTGTGCAAGGCCCCACCACGTTCCTAAGCATACCACGTGGTCATTAGTCACCACCATGTGGTGATTATCCCCCACAGCCTGTGAGCACTGAGTCACTGCAGTACAGAAGAGGGGCTCAGGGGCTGTTTGCTGAATTACTGAATGAATAATTCACAAGGGCCAGCCTTGTTCTTGGAAATTAAGGGGGTACACTGATCCCTGGAGAACTCTGCCAACCCTTGCCTCCCTCGGGGAGTATGGGCAGACAGCACAGGTTCCCTAGAGAAGGCTTCAGGGGACCTCGGAGCAGAACAGGCTGCCTGCCAGTGACGAGTGTCTATTAACACAGCTAGTGTCAGGCACACTATTTTCAACTGCTGACTCATGGGCTAGCTCCCACTTTCTCCAGTCACTGGGACATGCAGGGGATTCAGTATGTATATTCTTTCCACTTCAGAGCAGATTCCCAAGAAGCAACCCCGCCTCGCCACCCACCGTGTGCTACTGGTCATTGCAAAGACTTGTACCCCACTAAAACTCAAAGTTCACAATAGGCATTTGCCAAGTCCATTTGAAGATGAGAGTGTCAATGTTGACGAAATCAAGGGCGTCCTTGTCATGTTACCATGCTCTCCACCTCTCTGCTGTTCTCAGTGGCCAGGCTTCCTCTGTGGTATCCCCGAGGCCAAAAGTCCAGATTTACCAGATGGAACTGCAGACTGGCAGAAACAGTTTAATTCAGAGACTGAGTTCAAAGTCCCCACTGCAATCACATCTATGGCTGTGTGACCTTGAGAACGTTATTTAAGCACTGAGCCTTGGTCATCTCCTCTCCCCCACCCACTTTGTAAATGCAGGGCCATGGTTGTACTAGGGAAGTCTGCTACCACTGAACTATATCCCTAGCCCTTTCTACTTTTATTATATTTATTTATTTACTTACTTACTTATTTTTGGGCAGCATATCTTGCATATCTTGCATATCCCAGGCTGGGTTCAAATTTTCTCTATAGCTGAGAAAGGCCTTAAACTTGTGATTCTCCTGTCTCTACCTCCCAGAGTGCTAGGATTACAGGCAGGGACCACCACACCCAGTTTTGGGGTGTTTGGGACAGAATCCAAAGTTTTATGCATGCTAGACAGACGCCCTCCCCCCTGTGCCACATCCCCCTTGTCATTTTTCTGTTGAGAATAGTATCTTGTTAAGCTGCCCAGGCTGGCTCCAAACTTGTGATCATCTTTCTTAGCCAATGAAATAGCTAGGATGACAGGCTGTGCCAGCTTCAGATTTTTCACCTGTAAAATAAGGTCAATAATAATTTCTGGAATGGCTGAGAGGTTTAAAAATATTAATACATAGTGCTTGGCGTCGTTCATATGTGATGTGTACTAGCAATTATTGCTATTGTTGTCAGTATTTCTGTTTAGGAGGGGGTGTGTGTCTGCACATCTTCACACAACCATCGGATGACTCAGCTCCATAAAATCACTCCTCCAGACATCAGGAGGAAGGTCTTGTTTCCAAGAGCAAGTTTGTGGATGTTTTCTGTGGCTTCCCTTGACCCAGGCTTAGGTTCCTGATGCCTCCAACTTAAAAATTAAATCGAGGCTCAGGCCAAAGCTTTGCATCACTCATTTGGGATGATGACCTTGGGCTGGGGGCATCTCTTTGGTTTTGTTGGCAGGAACCTGTGTCCTTGTGTCCTGAAGTTTGAGGATGACTCGGCAGAATTTGCCGCCCTGGTTGAAAGGAACAGGGAGTATCAGGTAAGCCTGTGTTGACTGAGTGAGTGGTGACTAGGAGGACTGTGCCAATGGAAGCACATTCAAGGATGCTAGCGGCCACACTGCGGCTTCTTTGAAGCTACAGAATGAAGTCACAGAACACACTTCACCAGGCCCCATGGCCCCATCTCCTCCTCCCTTAGGAAGGAATTCAAGTGTTGGTTGAAAGTAGATGGTAAGACATGAGCCTGGTTTCATTGTGTTTCTCCAGCTGTTCCAACCCCTGTGTCTTATCTCCTCCTGCAGAAAAGAACTGAAGAGCTGATCAACAGCCGGCGATATGACACTAGGGATGATTTCACTGTGGTTCTCCAGCCATTCTTTGAAAATGTGGCCGTGCCGCGGACCCCGGTAAAGAAATGATGCGTTGAGGATGAGGCGAGCCCCCAGAGGGTACACAGCTGCATTTTTGCCATCTGTAACTGATCCTCCCTTTCTGCTTGATGACTAGGAGGGCCTGCCTGACAACTCCTTCTTTGCCCCTGACTGTTTCCACTTCAGTGGCAAGACTCATGCCCGCTCAGCTGTTGCCCTCTGGAGGAACATGGTAAGAACTGTGTGGTGTAAGAACCCTCCCTCCCAGTCCAGTTGCCTGCCTCTCCCCTCATCCTGCCCTCCACCCCCACCCCACATCTTCACCAGTCTACCTGGTCCACCTGGTCCACATTCCCCATCTCCTTGCTTCTCTGTTTAGCTGGAACCTGTTGGCCACAAGACAAGACAATATGATTTTGAAAACAAGATCCCTATCCTGTGTCCGAACCAGGTATAGTGGGCTGTCTGGGCAATAAATACCCTCTGACTATATAGACAGGAGAGTAGTGAAGGGTAGGGAGTTAAAATGGAAGCTGGAGCTAGAACAGCAGATCTTAGCCAGTGAGAAAAAGCAGGATAGGACCCCAGGTTCCACTCACAAATTGTCAGATTCTTGGAGTTTGTCCCTTGGCCCTGTGAATTCCTCTGGGTCCCCCAAAAGGGTCTCTGGCTTCTCATTGGGAGCTACTGGGCCAGGGCTTGCATGGGAAGGGAGTTACAAATGGAGAGATCTTGCTTACCCAGGAAAGACTCTGAGCAAAGTGAGTGTCGGGTGGCAAGGCACACTGTTGGGAAGGGGCAGGGTGGAGAAAGGAGACCCAACACCGGCAGCTGATAGTCTGAGTGTGGGAACGAGTACATAGGCATTCCTGGGAGCTACTTAGGAGTTCAGTCTGAGTCTTGGGGCTGGGTTCGGGTTGTGCAGAAGGCCCTGCTGCATCTTGGATGGCAGCACATGGCGGTCAGCCTTTCTGGAAGGGTCTAAGTGCTAATTGTGGCCTGGGAAGGCTGGGAAAGGGCATGACAAGGCTGGTGTGAACCTGCCATTGTTCACTCCTCTCTTCCCACAGACCTTGCAATTTCTGAGCACCTACAAGAACAGCAACCAGGTATCTACCTAAGTCTCCCTTTGGTTCACCAGGCAATGGGGTGGGCAGCCCCTGCTGATGGGAAGATGGGGAGAACTCCTGATAGAAAGTACAAGATGGTTCGTACCCTTTCATGAAATCATCTCTCCACCCACATCTTCCAGTGGGTGGGGAGCAGTATAAACTCCATGTCAATCAAACTGCAGCCCCACCAAGACAGAATGAAGCTAGCCACCCCTTTCACTGAGAAAGGAATGGGCAGAGGGTGGGGTGGGTCATTTTTGATGGCCCCAAGTCTTTGCCCTGGATGAAAGAGAGGTAGAGTTAGATGAACAGATCCCAGCTTGGCTGATATTCGGAATCACCTCAGGTGGCATCTTCCAGTGCCCCTGGAGGCCCCTCCCGATGTACAGGACCCAGGGCTCTGTTTTTTTCAAGCCTGCTGAGTGAGCCTGATGCCTACCCCACTTCTCTGGTCACTGCCCCCTTAACCCTAAGAGTCTGGGATTGGCTCTTTGCATTTAGGATTATGGAACCTGGACATTATGCAAGGACAGAGCCCCTTCTGCCTCACCACCAACCTCAGGTAAGCTCCTGTGACCACTGGGATCCAAGACCCCTGCACAAAGGCTCACATACCTGTGAGTAATCTCTAAAGCTGCTCATGGTAACCACTCAACACAGTTCTGACCAATGCTTTCTTCCTAGCCAGGGGAAGGGACTCCCTGCCCAGCTCTGGCCTTTGGCAGTTTCATGCTGGGCAAGCCCCAATGCATTCTGGGCCAGGAGCTGTTTCCCATCCTGCTTTCTTGATCTAATCAGGGACACACAGAAGACACAGGAGCTTGCCTTCAGTTAACCTAGCCCTGCATGGTGCTGAAGTCCAGAGGTAGATGATGCCAGGGAGTCCCATTAAACAGAAAGCTCTGTGGAAATGTGTCCTCAAGCTCTGCCTGAGGAAGGGTCTAGAAAGTTCTCTGGGCTCCTCAGAAAGGACTTGAGGCTAGGGGAAGGTCTGTCATGACTATTTGTTAGATTCTTGTGGAAATCTAGAACCCAGTTCTGAACAGGCTATCTTGGGCCATGTCTGTCTGGTTGGACACTAACGTGGATTCTGCCTCATCTTCCCCTCCATTCCTGTGTGGTGCCTTGCAGTATCCCTTTCATCTGTTTCTCCATCTTCTAGCCCAATGAAAGCCTGAAAACTGTTTGTCTCTTATGAGGAAGCACTTGTATGGAACTTCTGCCAACAGTTTGGGCTCCCCAGCTCTACATGGCCTAAGCACACGTGGGGTCTTGTTCTGAGTGTTGGCATGAAACAGAAGCCCTAGAGTGTGTGTGCAGCTCCCTTCCTGGACTCAACCATGTCCACTCATTTTTTTCAGTGCATGCCCTGAGGCCTGCAGACATCAAAGTTGTGGCAGCTCTGGGAGACTCTCTGACTGTAAGGACTTTTGAGCCCTGGGAGTGGGAATGGGCATGGCATGGGAGGGCGGTGAGAGTGGGCAATGGGTGTGGTGAGGCCATTCCAAGTCCTTGCCCTCCTAACTCTAAAGCCTGCACTCCCATCTTCTACAATCTCTTGCTCTTCTGCCCTGGCTCTATCTGCCCAGGAGAATGGCAACAATTTTATTTTTATAACTGCTTTATCAAGTAGGTGTGCAGGGGGAAAAAAAACAACTTTTTTTCAGGAATGAACTGAATATATTCTCAGTTGTCAGAGGTTTTGAACACCTAAAACCACTTTTTGACATATGCAAAAAATATGTCATTTGTACTCAAAATTCTCCAACTGATGCCTGTGTGGGTGCTATCCTCCCTCCCTTTTGAGCAGCCCAGACTCCCCACCCCCATCTGTTTCCTCCGCATCGACACAGAAGGCAACTCTATCCTTCAGTGGTGGATGAAGCCCTGCTCCTCACTTTCTACACTGGGCTGTGCTGCCATCCCAGGACACCACCTTCTGACAGCACAGCTAGGGCTTTAGAAATGCCTTCCTGGGGGTTCTAAAGGAAAAAAAGGAGAAATGAGGGATTTTTACTGGAAATCTCCCCGTCACAGTGGCTCTACCCTAAGCACTATGCCACGTCCGTAAAGACGTGTGTGGTTTTTGCTGGTAATATTATTGACATCACTCCCATTTGTAAAGCACTTGTAAGTTTTCCAGTCTTTACAGCTGTGATCCCAATTGGGCCCCAAACCTGTTGTGTGGAAAGGCATGCCATAGTGAAAGAAGGTATAGCTGGGAAGGAGGGTCACAGGGTGTATCCCTTCACTTCCAATCTTTGTGCCTTTCTTGCTTCCATGAGTGCACTGGGGGCCACGTCTTCAGAACCCTTGTCCACAGATCCCTTTTCTCTGTGACTCATTTATTTTCTTGTGGAATTTGATGTTCTCAAAGGCTGGCAATGGAATCGGCTCCCAAGAAGGTGACCTCTCCGATATCAGCACACAGTATCGAGGACTGTCATACGGGTAATGTTAATCTTTGACCTCCTCTTCCCCAGAGCTCAGCCTGATTGCTGTTTTGTTACCTTTTTGGTTTTGTGCATTTTTCTTTTGTTGCAAGAGCCTCAGGGAATCTGGATTGGGCTTGAACTAATTATGTAAGGGGAGATGACCTGGGCTTCTAGCCCTCCTCTCTCTACCTCCCAGCTGCTGGAATTGCCGGTGTGCACTGGCTGGGATATGGGCTCAGCTCCTATAAATGCACAAATCTCAAAAAGCAAGGACCAGGTCTAGAAGGGGCTTTCAGAGGAACAGCTATATATTTCTGCAAAGTATGAACATTGACTGAATGGAGAGCATAATTTTGCTGTTAATGATCCTTTTATTTTTAAATTATGCAGAAAAAGTAAATCAAGGTTCTTTCCAAACTCCTGAGTCAGCAAATCCAACATGAAATGTTCCCGAAAAGCACCAAATCCTTGAGTCTCCACCTGCCAATTTGCATGTCTGTGTTCGTACGTTGATGCTACTGTGTTTGTGTCTTCACTTCATGTATGTATTCGTGTCATTTTGTCATCACACCTCTCCATATATATGTACGCATCTATACAGAAAACTGCCAAGAACCAATACTCACTTCCGGAGGAAATAATGGATGCAAGTTGCAATCAGTGGGCATTCCTGAGCAACTCCTGTGTGCTGGCACAGGATTAAGAGCTGAATGGATGTCTGAGTGTCAGCTGCATAATCACCTGGTAGTGTTCTTTAGAAATTAAAGCTTCCTGAGTGCCACAGGGTGGGAAAGGCTTCCCAGAGATAGTGGTACCCAGCATGTCACAAGTGAAGGGGTGAGAAAGGGCACCCAGATTCAGATGTAGAGAGGAGCTCAGGCTCGGGATGTCAGGTGAGCAATTGAGTGTCGGCTGTGTTACATTTCTTTCCTAATAAAGTCTGAGGTTGGGCATATTTCAAAGTAATCAGTGAGCAGTTACGGGCTCAGCTGGGAAACCAAAGCCTGCCACAAGAGGGCAGAGCATTAATGAGCAGTTGGCTGCTCAGAAACAAAATACTTCCTTTTTTGGGGTGCATTCATTTCAAGGATCCTGTCTAAGAAAGTGATAGGAGATGAGGTGGGGTGATCATAGCCTAGGAAAGCCCCAGAGAGACCTGTTTCACAAGGTAACAGAGAGAGGCGGGATCCCAGAGCTGCTAATCACCCACCGAGAAGTTCCAATGCACCCTCAACATGAGAGCAATCTCCCCTCTCAGAACTGGGCAACAGCCTTTCAGCTCAGAGCCCCCATGTAGCTACATGTCTTCAGCCAGGTCAGTGGTCTCTAGTGGGCTACCTGGAACAAAACAGAGCCTTCTTACTCAGCACTCTTCTCGATTGCTACTGAAGCTATGAGGGAAAAGAAAAGGAGAGGGGGCGGGACAGGACTTACTGCCATTCAGAAGAGGCCTGGTTTGCAGCAACTGCTCTCCATCTCAGCTAAAGGAGGCAGTGACGTCATCATTATGTGAGGGAAAGCACACACAAGTGTCCATGTCCGATCCAGAGGAATACCCCTTGGGAACAGAAGTGACTGGTGAAGCCTGGCAGGTAGTTGAGATAGTGGAGCTCCCAATCCAGATCCGTAAGGCTTCTTGCAAAGAGACTTCTTGCACAGCTGTGCAAGTGTTCAGCCACTCTCTGTTCTTTCCTGTGAATAAAATGCCTAAACTTTCGAGTTCTAATCCTAATGACCCATGGCCAATGACTGTTGTCACTTTGAGTAGAAACCCTGTTTCTGTCAAATATCTCCTCCCAAGGGCACCTGTGTTAAGAATGGAAGCTGTAGGTTAATGTCTAAGTGACAGTGATAAGCCACCAGACAGATGTTTCTTGGTATTGTTCCATGGAATATAAGCTGTCCAAAAGGGGAGTTCCTTTGTATTTGTGGTAAAACACTGCCTACTATTTCCTTCATGCGCATGCCAACATAGTAAAGGCTCTGAGAAGGGCTGCATTGAAGACCTCTTTATGTCTTATGTTTGATTCAGGGTTTCCCTTAATTCTAGAATATTCTTTCTTTGAAATATCTTGTTAACCTCTGGGAAATGTCCATGAAGTAGACTGATCAGAGAAAAACAATTTTCTGGAGCCCTCTATATTGGAAATACTAGGCAATGAGATGATTGCAGGAAATTAAGAAAGCACCTAGGACCTTTTCCTCCAAGGAAACAGTGGGAAAACCAGACCTTGTAGAGACAGGGAAGAAGGGGCCCCAGGATTCTTTGGGGATGGGTGGTTGTAACAGGACCTATAGATGTTTCCAAGGTCCCTTACTTAGCCTATGAGACTGTGCACATATGGATGCCATTGTCAGCTAGCTTACCGGTAAGTCAACCTGAAAGCTTTCTTTAGAATATAGCTTTTTCTTTGGTAGAAATACATTGGCTTGTTTGGGATTATTCTATGGACCAAAATAAAATTTACTTGAACCAAAGCAAAATACATCTTAGTTTTGTTTTTGTTAGGACTTTAACCTCACATTTCTGACACTTTCAACACACATCACTAAGCATCTCCTGTACATTTCTGCACACTGGTGGCAACAGATGAAGGAAGTCTAGCCATTGAGTTGATGTGTCATAGATTACATTTCCTGAAGAGTCTGATGCAGACCACTTTTGACATGAGTGTTTCCTTCCATGTTTTTGTAGTTCTGACCAAAATGGTGACTGAAATATTTGACTTGTCTGTGTTTATTTGTGTGCTTGTCTTTTCTCCTCCTGGTGCCATTCTAAAATGGCACCGGGAATGTCTGTTGGTCTTGCTCTGCCACCACCACCCCCTTTTTTTAAGTACCAAGATACCTTTAAGAAATGCAAGTAGAAGATACATGATATGTATGTGGTTATATCTGTTTTCTTGTTTATTGAGGGAAATATGCAGAACACAACAGATGGGACAGTATATGGATTTCTGATTTCCTTCCAAATGTAAGATGCTCCAATTTAGTAACTTTGGCTCAGAGAAGAAAGGATTCAGAAGCAGCACCTTCATGTAAAGCTAGAAAAGACTTTAGTGGTGACAAAAGCCCAACCATTATCCCAGCCCCAGACATTGATGGGCCATGGGGGAGAAAACTGAGTGATGTAGAGGGAAGATCCTAGTGACTTTGACTTATGGCCATCCTTGAAAGGTTGCTACCAGAGGGCTAGCTGCTAAGCGTGTATTCTCAAACTCCCCTGGCCTGGAATGACATCCTGGAACTGAGAAAAAGGGCACAGAAGAAAACCAGACAGTTTTTGTTTTTGTTTTTTGAGACAGGATTTCTCTGTAACAGTCCTGGCTGCCCTGGACCAGGTTGATCTCAAATTCAAAAACATCTGCCTGCCTCTGTCTCCTGATTAAAGGAGTGTGCCACCATGCCTGGCTAGACTTTTTTTTAAGATAGAAATAAGTATCTCCTTTAAGCCTGTGGAAGGAAATGACCTCTCATACAGTGTGTTTTGAGGTTAGTCCAGATAAAATGAGATGGGGCATTGGAAGGCAGCAAGCTCCCAGCCTCGGAATCTTCCATTGGAATCTACCTGATACTGGGCAAACAAAGCGTATCTGTGTTCTCAAGGTTTCCAGCTCAAGCTTGGTCTTAGTTACCCTTAGCCACTAACCTCCCAGCCCCTCTGCTTTCTACTCTGTCACAGTGAGATGGCCACAGCTAACTCCTAAGCTTTGGACAGGAGAAAGAACCATGATCTACAGTACAGTGCATGCTGGGCACTCAGTGTCCTCAGCTAAGTGCTGTCCACTCAAGTGGGTAAAGAGGGAAAGTCTTTTACCTTCAAATCCTAGACTGAGGGGAAACAGTCCACTGGTGAATCTCGAATGTTATCAGGATCCTTCAAAATTCTAAGGACAGTTGAGGATTGCTCTTTGGTGAAGTTTTTAAACTAACTTGGTTTTTCTCCTTCCCTGCCTTGCTCACTCCTTACAGTGCTGGTGGAGATGAGTCCCTGGGGAATGTGACCACCTTGCCCAGTAAGTAGCTACCAAGGGCTTGAGTAGGACTGGCTGCTCAAGGAAACAGCACATCCTTAGGGACTAGCCCTGAAGCGGAAGAGGCCCCAGAAGTCAGCCTCAGGGGGTGAAATGGGCATTGGACATGGAGCCTGCAGAACTGGGTTCAATTCCTGCTGTTTCTGTATTCTTGTGAGGTGACCTAGGGCAAACCACCAAATGCCCTAGGCCTTGAGCTTTTTCAACTTGGCCCGAAAAATGCCAAGACAAATCTATTTGGGTCCTTCACCAAGTTGTAAGTCAAGTAGAGAAAAATACTTCTGCAACAAACTCCGACCTTACCTCGTCTCGCTTCTCATCACATCATTCCAAGCGAGAGGCCCTAGTTTCTGTCAGTCTTATGTTCCCAGGGTTGCAAAAGAATGATGTTACAGCCCATGGTGAACCTTAGAACCTTTTTTAGTACTGAAGAAGATACCCTAGTCTTCTGTCTTGAGTTCTGTGCCTAGAGTCTACCTTTCCTCTTGCAGATATCCTACGGGAATTTAATGGAAACCTCACAGGCTACGCATTAGGCATCGGTGACGTCAATTCTACAAGTGCATTCCTTAACCAGGCTGTTCCTAGGGCGAAAGCTGAGTATGACATTTGGGGGTCTACAGAGAGGGAAACAGAAGCATGCAGTCAGTCCCTCAGAGATCCCCATAGAGACCCACAAAGGGGCAATTCACCCATCTGCAGCAATGATTTTGAGGGTGCTCTGTCCTGTCCCCCTGTAACCAAAGTTAACACATGGAGTTTAGGGTGGCCTTGGATGTGGGAAGGAGTCGTGTCCCTCCAGTTAATTGCCACCCAGATCCTTGGTTGGGCTTTCGCACACTTTGACATCTAAGAGTTGAACTAACTGAGCAATATTGCCAATTTTTGAAGCTCACTCTAACATAATGCTGCTAGAAAAATTCTATCTCCCCAGAGGATCATGGGTAGCACTTACCCTATATGATCAGGTAAGGCCTACTGTGTGGAAGTCAAGATTTCCAGCCTAAGGGAGCCTCTCTTTGTCTCCCTAGTCCTGGAATGGACCTAACAAAAAAAACAAACTGGATATATCCAGGGGGCTGCTGAGGCAGAGCTGCCTAGCCTCCTGGGATGGTCTCTCAAGGAGGTGTACTAATTCTTCTAGAGACCCCAGAAGCCTGGAGCTCCTGCTCCCCACAGTTCTTGGCCCATCCATTGTTTCAGCCCATAGCTCTAGTTGGTGGGCATGCCCCAACACCTGTTTACTGAGCTCTATAGTTGCAGTAGCCTGTGACATACAATTTTACTATCCTACCCAAGGACACCATTGTGCTATGATGCCATCGCTCAGGCTTCTACCAGCACCTCAGAGTGTTATAAAAGCCTGTAGTATGTAGGCCCTATAGGGTAAGAGGACAAATACAGACATTTCAACAGAAAGACTGACTATCTCTCCTCAGGAACCTTGCAAGCCAAGTCCAGACTCTGGTTCAGAAGATGAAGAATGATCAGGTGAGTCAGACTGGTGTTTGCTGATAGTGTTAGTTATCTAACCCACTGGAACTTTCCCCAGATGGGATGCTCTGCTGTGAAAAGCAGTGAGTGCCCTTCTGCTTGAAGCATTCAGAGGTAGGAAAGCCCCCTTGTCTGAGACCTTCTAGAGGATGTTATATCAGTAGTGGAAAGGTGACAGCTGGTCCCTCCTGTTGCTAAGATTCTGGTCTATAAATAAAGCCTTTAAAATGCTACCAGCTGCAAGGTTCTGATTGTGTTATTTCAAGTGGACAAGGAAGTCACAAGGAGATGACTGGATTTCCTAGAGCTGTGACAGTTTGTCGGAAATGGTGAGCATTTTCTTCCCTCCTAATGTAGAGAGTGAACTTCTTCCACGACTGGAAGGTCATCACCATCATGATCGGGGCCAGTGACTTGTGTGACTTCTGCACGGATTCGGTAATTGCATAGGGTCTGGGCCTGATCCAGACCCTGACCATTAGGCATTGGAGACTGAGGTCCCTACAGTTCACCCCAGGGGGCATTTAACTCCAATCACATTGCACATGTGTACATATAACTCAGGCACCCCACACATTCATGCACGTGAGCTCCTTATGGTCAACTTTGTGGTTGACTGCATGTCCCAAGTGGTGAGGGGCCAGGTAGCACATGCATGTAGAGAGTTCTTTACAACTCTCTAAAGAAACCCCCAAGCATTTTGGGAAAGCATTCTTCATTTTCCACTCTGGTCAGTGGTTCCAATCTTCTAATCAGCTTGCCCCTGACAACAATGAGTCATCGGGCATTCAGCTCAGATTCTAACATGCTGATGTATTCACAGATGGTGGTGGCAGGGTTACAAGTCCTTGGGGCTGGACCAGAAGGGTATCCCATGCCTGCCCCTCTGCCCTCTCACTGGAACCAACCCTTTCCTTCCCCTTCCCCTTCCCTTTGTCTTTCCAGAATCGGTACTCTGCAGCCAACTTTTTTGACCATCTCCGCAATGCACTGGACATACTGCATAGGGAGGTGGGTAAGGGCTTCTGTAACTTGGTTACAGCTCTAGTATAGTGGAGGTATAGTTGAGAGAGGAGAGGCATGGGCTCTGTCTCTTTCCAGAGTCTCCAGTCTTATTCCCAAGTCCTTCCATTCTATTTGGAAGGCGCTCCGGAGATCTCAGGTATCAAGAAAGGAAGGCACTGTATACTAGCATCTTTCCAGGACATTCCTTGGTGTTAGCAGCTGGCCAGTGCCCAGGCTTGGCATTGCATTTTGAACACAGAGTGTGTCTTGATTAAGCCTCTATATATACCCAGCCTCACTTCTTCCAACCCACTGATAACTTGTGGGCAGCAACAAGCTGCCTCTGCTATGCCATGGAAACAACACTGTAACCATCAGATGCTCTGCTGGGTAACTGAGTCCCCATGTCTACTCAGAAGAAGTTGATCCAAGTCAAGCTGGCAGAAACTGGCCAGGAGCCAGTGGCCTGGCAAACAAGTTGCCTACCACATGAAGCTTTGGCTCACTGAATGATGGCTGGAGAGAGCTGAGCTCTTGGTATTTATTGACCCATCCTTGAGGCCCTGTCTATTCTGTAGCTGTGCAGGGCACATCCCACCTGCTGGTATCCTTGTATCTTGCATGGCCTGCAGCACTCCATGATGTAGTCCCGTGTAGACTCCTCTTTTAAACTCAAGAGATGGGCCCAAAGTCTAAAAAGGGAGCCTCTATCCAAACCCTAGGAGCCCCTGTCTTACCTGCAGCCTTCTCTTTAGGTACCCAGAGCCCTGGTCAACCTCTTGGACTTCATGAACCCCAGTATCATACGGCAAGTGTTCCTGAAGAACCCAGACAAGTGCCCAGTGCATCAGGCCAGGTAGGCAGGCACTGGTCATTCCATCCAAGAGATCTAAGCCTTGGTCTGGCCTGCCCATTCAGCAGTGACTCCCCAGGGTCTCTGCAACTTAGTCCTTCGATGTTTATAAGCAAGGACTTGTGCTAGCACCATCCTCTCCTGGGAGGTTGAGAGCTTTGATCCTGTCCCTTACCCTATCCCAGGTGCCAGACAGGAACTTCTACAACAGCAAGAACCATAGGGGCTACTATTGGAGAAACTGAGTAGCCGAAACTGAAAAGGGAGACCCAGAATGGTATTTTTGTGTGGCTAAACTACAATGGAGAGCAAGAGCCAGAACACCCAACCCAGGCACCTTGTCTGGAAGAGAGGAGTTGGGGGAAGGGAAAGGATGACTGTTAGCATTTCTGTAACTGGGTGGTCGGTATCCAGGTGTGTGATTCCCCATTCTTCACACCTCTTCATGTACCTATTGACTTAACAAATCTCACAGGGACTGGAGAGCAGCTGACTGCTCTTCCAGAGGTCCTGAGTTCAATTCTCAGCAACCACATGGTGACTCACAACCATCTATAATGAGATCTGGTGCCCTCTTCTGATATGCAGGTTCACATGTAGGCAGAACACTGTGTAGAATAAATAAATATCACAGAATTTACTGTGCCCCAGGCACCGTCCTGAAGGCATTAGAAATACAGATGACATTGCCTTAGGATTCTGACCTTTATAATGCTACAAAAGCCACATGCACTCAAGAGAAAACAGAGTACAACCTTTTCCTGGCCTGGGTATATATATAGTCCCATGCTCTCTTGGAAGCCCCAAGAAATACCTCAAGAAAGGGCCCCCACCCCAAAGGAGAAACAGTCAGCTCACTGCAGTATGTGGGGCTAACATGATGCAATATTTAGTAGGTATGTATAACAAATGATTGGTTTTCTTTTTCCATTTTCTGAGGGTGTGTGGTCACATGTGTATATGCATGTTTGTATGGGGGACGCACGTGTGTGGGTGCGTTTGCATGTGCCTGTGAAGGCCTGAAGCTGATGCCAGGACCCATCCTTGGCTGCTCTTCCACCTCATTAAACGAGGCAGGTTGTCTCAGTCAAACCCAGAGCTCACTGATGTGGCTCGTCTCACTAGCCAGTTTGCTCTGGGAATCCCCTGCTCCCATTTCCCTAGGCTATAATTGCAGGTGGGATGCTGCACCCCACCCCTGGAATTTCTGGGGGTTCTGGGAATCCAAACTCTGGCCCTCCCACTTACAGCAAGCACTTTAACCCTTGAGTCACCCCCAGCCCAGAAAATGAATTTCATCGGATAGTATGATAAACTTTACAGGAGCTCATTGGAACTGACCTCTATCGTATGTCAGAGGCCGTCTTTAACTTTCCTCTTAATGCTAAGTGTATATGAATAAAGCTAACTCATAATCAGAGAAAAGGCATTAGAATGGCATTAGAGGAGGTGTCTCAGCGTATGAATATCAGAGTCCTGGTGTACCTGCTTCAATACCAGCATGCATTGCTAATTTTTTTTCTAGTTAAACATTGCATTCTCATTGCCTAAATTCATTTACTCTACAGAATGGGACAGGCCTAACCTCTGAAGTCCAACTCTAGTACTTGATAAAGTAGACTCAAACTGCAGATTCCCCCACCCCACCCCTGTCACATTTTCAAGACAGAGGACAGGTGCCTCAGAACCCCCAGGCACTTGTGCTCCCTATCCAAGGCTTGAGTGAGCCTTGCTACCTGCCCCAGTTCTGTGTGGCCAGAAGCAGTCCCTGAATGGAGCTTCACCTATGAATCTTCTTGCCACTCCCCTTTCTTTGTACAGTGTTCTGTGCAACTGTGTTCTGACCCCTGGAGAGAATTCCCCTGAGCTGGCCAGGTTGGAGACCTTCACCAAGTCCTACCAGGTAAGGTAGAGGAGAGCCCATGTCCTCCTCCCCTGATCTTCCTATGACAGCCCAGAGGAGGCATGAAGGATTTATGGAGCAAGATATCAACCATCCTGGGCCCCTCCCTCTGCCCCACCTGACTGAGGGTCTCAGTTTCCTTGGCTAGAAAAATCCCAGTGGTATCCAGGTGATACTGGTATGGCTGAGGCACCTTTGGGAGGGGGGTTGTTAAACCTCATTGTTAGTCAGGAGGTTTGGGGTGCTCCATGAAGCCACACTAGAGACTAGCTTCTTCTCATTTCCCTGGCCCCCATTCTCACACCAGTCCCCACAGACAGAACACAAGGGATTACAGGCTAGGAGCCTGGCATAATCTGGAGTGTATTCTCTGGGTTTTGCTTATTTGTTTGTGGCACTTTCTGCCAGCCCTTTAGAGATGGCAGGTTTAAACCAACAACTAAAACAATACACCCATTTCCAAACTCTGAATGGGATTTGCTATCGAAAACATTTGCATCAGGCTGAGTCAGCTCCCTTGTCTAAGGGGATGGGGACAGGGATGCTGTGTGCCAGCTGTCCTTACCCTACCCTGTGCTAAAGGCTGCCGTTTGTGTGTGTGTGTTCCCAGAGTAGCATGCTCCAGCTGGTTGAGTCAGGCCGCTACGATACCCGGGAGGACTTTACTGTGGTGTTGCAGCCCCTTTTCCTCAACATCAGGCTCCCTATCCTAGAGGTACGCTCCCCCACCTTAGGCTCTGGAGGAAGAACTGCTATGGGTATCTGGCAAGAGAGCCATCAAGGCAGGAATGAATGAGAATGGGAAGGACACAGAGAACTCTGCAGATGCTACGCTAGCGGGCACAGTGTCATTTAACACCCGAACCCAGGTATTATGCATCCCACAGATAAGATTGCCACAACTGTCTTTGGGGATACTGTGAGCCCCACAGAACAGAACTGTAGAGATGTGTTGTATCCTTCCTAAAATCAGAAAGGAAATAAAAGGTGGTCAAGACTCACAGGGTATCCAAGTCTACATTAATGGCTTGCTGCCACGCATGTAGTCTCTCTTACATGTGGCCCTGTGGTTATAAAAGAGTTCTTGTGCTATGTTCCCACCCCTTGGCACTCTGCCTGGCACTTCCTCTCAGTGTGGAAGAGCTCTGTGGGCAGAGCAGGTAAGGCCTCTATCCCAAGACCTCAGACAACTTGGGGGAAAGCTGGAAGGAGAACAGAGTGGTGTATGCAGATCCTGCAGCGAGAAGAGCTGGAGTCAGGCGACCTCCCGGCCTGCTGTCAGCTCTGGCCAGGCCCACCTGGTGTGTGCTTTAATCCTCTCTGACTAATTGTGGAGGCTGCGGATTAGGAAGGAAGTGCCCCTACCCCCATCCCTACCCCCCACCCCACCCTAGCTATGTTAGCATTAGTTACTTTTCATTTGTGACAAAATACCTCTCAAAGCATCTGAAGGAAGGAAAGGGTTTGTTTTGGCCATCCTTTTAGTTTAAGAAGGGACACAGTGTATCCTGGCAGGGATGGCATGGTCAGGAGCATGAGAGGCAGCTGGTTACATAGTGTCTACTGTCCCTACTGTCCAGAAGCAGAACCCCAGGAATGCTTGTCCTCAGTTAGCTTTCTCTCCCTGTGTAGTCCAGTATCCCCAGTCCATTCAGTGTGGGCCTCCCAACCCCCAATTCACCCGCTCTCAGTCAGGTTGATGCCAATATTAACCAATACACTACCAAGACTCCATGGAGAACCAAGAAGGTAGCTTGCTTCACTTACAGCATGAGTTAGGCATTGTACAAAAGTTCCCAAACAAAGCACTCTTTAAATAAAACACAGAGAATGTGGAGGCCAGAGAAGGTACGGCTTGAGATCACCCAAAGCTATCTGTGGGGATGCTTTTATGTCCCTGCCTTGTTCCCAAAGGGAAGAGGGTATTTTGTGGTCATTCTTAAGGATCACATGGCCTGTGGCTCTCTCACCCCACAGGACCTGGAGGAAGTGTGCTTGTCTCTTTCAGGATGGGCATCCAGATACCTCCTTCTTTGCCCCAGACTGCATCCTCCCTAACCAGAAGTTCCACTCTCAGCTCTCGAGAGCCCTTTGGGCCAATATGGTAAGATAGAGGACTGCTTCTGGCAGTGCAGTCTAGTGCAGAGCACCAACCCTACAAAAGGTGGGGTAGACCCAGAGGAACATCAGCGGGCACATCTGTCCAAGTCTACAGCATGGCCGTGGAGAAGCCTGGAAATTGACTTAATCGGGTTGCACTGCCAGCTGTCCTCTGTGTTTGTCAGATATCATGAGGACATGAGGGATGCTATCTGTATAACCTATCAGAGGGCCAGGGATATGGCTCAATGGGTAAATGGAGTTCTGATCCTTAGGGCTCATGAAAAATCAGGTATAGGGGATACACCTCTATAGCCCCAGTGCTCAGGACAGAGATCCCAGGAACTTGCTGGCCAACCAGTCTAACTGAAGCAACACACTCCCAAGTTTAGTCAGAGTCCCTAACTCAAAAAATAAGATAGAAAACAGTAGATAAAGATGCTTGACACACTGAACTCTGACCTCCATACAAGCTTGGGCACCAACTCATGTGCACGCACGCGCGCGGGTGCACACACACACACACACACACACACACACACACACACACACCAGCAGAAACCCCTCATTTATTCACCCTATTCTGTACACCACTACATACACTAGGCAGTTGAAACTGTGTAATCTCCTTTTAGCCCCTCCACAGTCCCACAGGAAGTGTTTCGAGTTTTCAGAGACGCTAACTGACTTGCTCTGGATCCTACTTGCCAGCGCCTGACAGACCTCAGGTCAAAGCCACGCCCCCAAAATGCAGTTCTTCTGTTCGCTTCAGCAGACACAAACAAACTTGGTGTGTTTCTCTTTTCTTCCCTGATCAGCTTGAACCTCTGGGAAAGAAAACAGATACTTTGGACCTGGGAGCATTCATAGCCATGGCCTGTCCGACACAGGTACTTAAGGAGGAACTGCTTACTCTGTCCTCAGAAACTGGCCAGACCCTGCCCCTCTTCCTCCTCTTTCTCCTCCTCTTCCTTCTCTTCCTCTTCTTCCTTCTTCTCTCCTTCCTCCTTCTCCCCTTCTCTTCGTTCCTCTGTCCCTCCTCCTCTCCCTCCTCCTTTTCCTTCTCGTCTCCCTCCTCTTCCTCTTCCTCTTCCTCTTCCTCCTCCTCCTCCTCCAACTGAACTCGCTCAGCCCCTAGGCTGAGAAATGGGCTTGGAGGAGAGGGGGAAAGGAAAATTTGGCTGAGCTGCTTCCTTGAAGAGGAGTGATGAAGTTGGGTCCACACAAAGAAAGAGAAGCCTGGGCAGCGAAAGGCAGGAAGGCAGGAAAGTGAGGAGCAGATGGGAATGTCTCGATGTGGGTAGAAGGACCAAGAGAGGGACCCAGGAGCCCAGAGCCTGCACTGGGTGTTCCCCCCATGAGGAGGGCCGACAACTGGAGCCACAAAGGGAGGGCTCCAGAGAACCAGCCTGAATCTGTATAAGGAACAGCTCAGGGCTCCTTTTAAGGAGGAATATGTTAAACGTGATTTCAGGCCTGGAGTGGGGGCAGGTTCACGTTCCCATTGCCTTCAGCTCCTGTTTCTGGTCTTGTCTTACGACTTTTTAACCAAATAAGGCCAAGGCTAGAGAGCCCTTGGTGGCCATAAAAGCAGAGTATCTGACCTAATGTGGGAGGCTGGGGTTTCCAGTCTGGGTCAGGCTACAACCAGCACCCCCCCACACACAGCAGGCAGAGCCTCAGCTGAGGCATGAAGCTCCCTTGGGATATCTGCTGGGTATCCCAGGAAAGGGGGAGGCCCTATCCTGCTCCATGCTCCCTGTCAGCTGTCTTTTCCATCTGTCTTTGGTAGTTTGCTTAATCTGATACACCGTGAGCAAGAGTGGCAGGAAGGAGACATAAGAGCAATGGAAGCAGAGGGTTCAGTGGCTGCATCTAGTGCCTCAGATACAGGACAAAGTCAAGTCATGTGGTTATCAGTGTGCATGGGTAGCTCCAGTGCCAACGATAATCAGATGCTGGGTAAAAGGGCTTAGGTGTGGCCCCTCTATGCCATGTGTGAACATATTCACTGCCACTTCCCGAGGCTGCATTGAGGGGGAGGGGCCTGGGCAACTTGGGCAGTAAGGGGCATTTGAGGACTTACAGTAGTGATCATACCATAAGAATGTCATTTTCCTTCTATTTGTGTGCCCTTGTGTGTATGGGTGTGCATGCATGCATACAGATGTTGGATATTTCCAGCTGTTTTAAGACGGGCTCTCCTAATGACCCTGGAGCTAACAACTTGGCTAGACTGGCTGACTAGTAAGTCCCATGAATCCCCCTGTTTCCACCTCCCTGGGTCTAGGATTACAGGCTCAAACCTCTATATCTGGCTTCTTATTTGGGCTCTGGGTCCAAATCCAGATCCCCATACCTGTGTGACACACACTTTACCAACTGAGCCACCTTCTCAGCCAATAACTGGGTTTTCAGTACGTTAATAATCTATGACCACATTGAATATCAACCATAAGAGTCCCCTCCAAAGTGTCAAACTCAGCCATCATGAGCTCTTCCTCCCCACAAACATATGCCAAACTGAGGTCCCATCTCTGAGTTAGGGAGAATCCCTTCACTGTGAGCCCCAGGGCAAGTTATGCCCCCTCTCTGTTCCAGTGCAGGCACAGAGTCCCAAAGAGGTGAAGCTCTACCTGGAATCTCAAGCTTACCTCTTCCATTAGGACAGAACCTGACCTAACTATTGATGGGGTGAGGAGAGATCCAGCCTCCTAGAGCCTGTAAAAGCCCAGCCCAGGAGAAGCTGTTGCTAAGCAACCCTGGAGCCCATTCCAAAAGGGTCCATCTGTTGGCCAGCCCAGCTTCACTGCACAGTGTCTCAGGTGCCATCTGCTCTCTGCCATGTGCCTCAGAGCCATACAAAGTCCACCCATATCTCAGTGTGAGCTGATGGGGGGCCAGGCAGTGTGTATTTTCATCCAGGCTGTGTCTAAACATAGAAGCAACAAGCGGGACCAGGGGGATGAGAGTCGGGTGGAGGCAGCAAGTTGGGAGTGGGACTTGTAGAAGTGCCCTTCTCCTCCTCCATCCCCAGCCTCCCTGCTGCCACGTTTGCTGTGCCAGGTAGGGGGACTTCGCAGTACACCATGGTTTTAGGATGTATTTATTTGCAGGTTGGGTGAATTTTGTACAACTGAGTCCTGACATTTGCTCTGTGGACCATTCTCCCCTTCCCCCCTTAACTGTCTCCTTGCCTCTTCTTCTTTCCCTAACTCCAGAGCTGAGCCACCTGGAAAATAGGGTCTGTCCTTTTTCAGCTTTTATTCTTCTTGACCTCTGTCGCAGTTAAGTTCTCCTTCCTCGGAATCTTTTCCTCCCTGGCTTGAGAAGAAGGGCACTTTTTATTTTCCTGGTTGCCTCCCTTCTTACCTCTTAATAGCATTCCTGTTTCTAGCCCTGAAAATGGATCCCCTCTCAGACTTTCCTGTCTCCATCTTATTGTCTTCTCTCTGTGTGTGTGCATCCTCACTCTGCAGCTGATCTATTTCTAGAGTCCCCCCCCCCCGAACTTCATAGCACCAGCTTCCTCAGTCTCTCACTCTACCACTGTTTTTTTCTTTCCCAGACACCAATCCTATATTTCCTAACCCTTAAAACACATTTCCTCCTGGAAGCTGCATATGGCATAAAATTACTGCTCCCATCAAAGAAGGAGGAGGGGACAAATGTATACAAATCCCATCAGAAAAGTTCCCTTCCCTCTCTGCAGGCCAGCTATGCAGCCAGCCCAGGTCACCAGCCACTGACTGAACTACTGGCTCTTGCCTGGACTCTGCCTCTTTGGCAGCCCACAGAAACCACCAGGCAGGCATCCCTTCTACCTGCCAGGAATCTCTCACATAGTCAGCTCCACCCCAGGCCTTTAAACCAGCCTGACTCATGTGCAATAAGCAACCAAGAGCCAGTAAGAGAAGAATTCCAAGATTCCCTTGTCTCCTGATCCCTTCAGCATCTTCTCCTCTCCCATAGCTCATGGTTCCTATAGTCAGATAAATAGTTATGAGACTCCCAGCTCTTGCAGAAAGGTAAAATTGGACTGTGCCTTCTGCTCCCTCTTGTGCTGGCCACACCTGGATCAGCTCCAGCCAGGACTTCTCTGTGAAAGGAAAATGATATTTAGCATCCACACCTAGTCTTCTCCTGAGAGATGTATATCCCCACATCTTTCGTCAGTTCCCTCAACAAATTCCACACTTCTAGGTCTGCTGGTCTTCACTGCCTAGGAACGTCTCATGTCCTTCTTCCTCATGCCTAGGGGACAAGTCTCCCCCTGCCTCCTCTCAGTATTGCTCTGGGTACAGGGACCGAACACAGGTATAGGTAAATCTTTTGTAGAAGGCACCCAGACTGCTCTCCTGGGGTGACTGTTGAGGGGGAAGATGACGACACTGGTTTGAGACAGCCTAATTAACTGTGGTGCATGCCACCACAAGCCTCTCTGTCTTGCACTGGTGACTCCGTCTGAGTGCCACTGGTCTCTGTTTCAAGTTGGAGTGCTGAGACTGAGAAGAAAAGGGGAGACAGGCCTCAGCATTGGGGTGGGGTTCAAGACAGGATTTCTCTGTGTAACAGCTCTAAGTGTTGTGGAACTCGCTTTGTAGGCCAAGCTTGACTCAAACTCACACCTTCCTCTGCCTCCTGAGTGCTGAGATTAAAGGTGTGCACCATCACTGGGCTAGTCCCAACATTTTAACCCTCCTCCTCCTCCTCCTCCTCTTCCGCCCCATTTCTTATTCCTCCTCCTCTTCCTCCTGCCACCCTCCTTGAGCCAAAATAAAACGTCTCCTAGCTGAGTTTACAATGGAGAGTTAGCTTACAATACCTGGAACTGATCTCTAAAGACATCTTTTCCAAAAACCCAGCTTCCCCCTCACATCTCCCCACACCTCTTCCTATTTGGGTCCCATTTTTTCCAGCCCTGGTATTTCCATTCCACAAGAATGTCCCCCAAGTGTCCCTAGCCCTGGGTCTACCTCACTATTTCCTGGTCCAGATCTTGGATTGACCTTACTTCACTCGGGTTTGTTTTCTCCTGCTTCTCCTTTGCGGCTGCAGCCTCCTCCCTGCTTTGATTAACCCATCACCTTCAACTGGGTGGACTGGGAGTGTTGGCAGGGATTGTATCAGCACTGATTGAGCAACAGATAGGTGAGGAGGGCCTGCCTGGAGAGCAGGTTAGTCAAGGTGGGAAAAAATGACTGAAAATGAAGGAAGCCAACTTAAAGTGGATAACACACAGGGAACAAGGGAGAGAGAGGAAAAAATGACAGGTAGTAAAATACATTGGTAATCATAACTCTTCTTCAAAAAGAAAAGTGCTGAAATGTGAGTTTTTTGCCAGAAAAACAATAAGAAAATAGGTAAGGCTGGGGACCATGGAGATGTATAATTGCTACAGTCTACATGAGGTCATGGAGCCCAGACCGCAGGATGTGCAGGACTTTTGCTAAGCCTTTTATTTGTGCCTCCCTGGTTAATAAGGGTTTACAAAAACCCTTCTGGGAATGGCTGAAATTTTGTCTACGCAGCTCTTTCCACTTCAATGCAGAACCCTGTTTAATAAACCTAGAAGTCAGTGTGGTTAGTTCATGCACAGCCTTCATGTTGTTAGATAACCTCTCAGTGTGATTTTTTTTTTCCTCCTAGGATGAGCCCTTCCTGAGAACCTTCCGGAACAGTAACTACACGTACCCTACCAAGCCAATCATTGAGGTAACCTCTGACTCATGTCTGTGTCTCTCAGACGAAAGCCAGTCCCACCTGCCAGAGACCCGGGGTGTGGTGCAGATTTCACTATTAGTTTAAGCACAAATATACCCTTCTTACATACTGGGAATTGGAATGTCCAAAAGAGGGTCCGGAACTGTGGCCCTGGGATGGTCCTGACATGCTCTCAAGTTGCCTACCTGACGTCAGCGGCCAAGCAGAGGAAGTGCCAGGGATCAGCATGCATTGACCTTTGCAGTCCCAGGCTCAGCGACACTGCTGTTAATTAAGCATCTCAGTGTTGAGGGGTGGACAGTTGAGGGTGGGGGTGGTATTGGGGGTGGGGCAGGGGGCATGAAGTGCCATCAGCTTCCTGAAGGTGGAACCCAAAACTGAGAAGGAAGGCATCTTTGTGCCAGGGGTGGGGCCCGACAGGAAGCTGACGAATATCCAACAAAAACTTCAGCCTTAAACTGGATGCAAGTTACTCAGCCCCACACTGAGCTTTCAGAGCCTGTGGCTTTAAGAATCGATGCTCCAAAGTTGGCTTGCCAGATCCTGCACTGCACCACACCCCACTCCACCATACCACACTTTGAAGGACCTAGGCCTGGTCCACGGGGACAGAGACTCAAGCATTTCACATTCATGCTGAGGGCTGGTGGGGATTTAGAGAAGCATGTGATACCTGACCTGGGTAGTTAGAGCCCACTAGAGAGGTCACACTGTCCTATTAAGCATCTACTGTGTGTCATACACTGTTTCAGGGAGTTAGAAACTGATGAGACTCCACTCTTCAAAGAGTCCCATTTGCTGGGTTGAGATGCCTAGGACATAGCTGAAGTGATTGTTTCAGACAGGGACAGTCGTTGCTCAGATGAGGGAGATGAGACAAAGAATGATGGGCCAGGGGAAGGGTGGCCATTTCTGATGCATCCAAGATGCTGAGTCTGTCTGAGAATGGGGAGATTTGAACTGAGACATGCAAGTCAAAAAGATGCTAGCTGCCTGGAGGACCAGAAAAGGCCAAACAGAAGGGCCAGAAAGTGTGGAGGCTGGGGCAGGAGGTGAAGTTGAGTATAGTTGAGGAAGAGAAGGAAGGTCAGAATGGCTGGAGTCAGGGCATGTGTGTGGTGAGTGTGGGACATGAGATCATGTGTTCAGGACCAGATCACACGGCCTGCATGCCTGGCAGTGAAGGTTAGGTTTCAGATGGAGGGCGAAAGGGAAGCCATGGGAGGTTTGAGGATTTGGTATACGCCTTTAAGAGACTCCTCTGGCTTACAGCATGGAGACTATATCAGACATCAGTAACTGGGGGAGATAGAGTAGCTTGTAGCCAAGGCTGTCCTAAAATGTGTCATGTAGCCAAGGATGACCTTGAGCCTCGATTCTCTTACCCCCACCTCCCAAATCCTGGGATTATGGGTGTGCCCACTACACCTAGCCTTTGTTTAAATCTTTGTCTGGTTTTTGAAATATGATCTCACTCTACAGCCCAGATGGGCTTCTAATGCACAATGATCCTCCTGCCTCAGCCTCCTAAATGCTGGGATTATAGGTGAGAACTGCCACACCTAGAAGAAACATCTTTATAAACCATCCAAAGCGCTGAGAATAGCCTATGAGCCAAAAAACTGTCAAGGGTGACGTCCTGTTACAGTAGTGTGGCTGGGAGCAGTGTCATCTCCAGGCTCTCTGAACTCTGACTCACCTTAACCCAAGGGAGTCAAGTCCTGTTTGAACCAGTGACAAATTCCTGTGTGACTCAAAAGCCTGGGCAACCAGGCATTCCTTTGTTCATTTTCCACTTCCTGATAAGTTACTAAGAGGAGCAACCACTATGCTAAGTGCTGGGTGGATGGACAGTAGTGGACAAAGGGGGCTCTGCCTGTTCTGGACCTTTATTCTCAAGGATCTTTTCTTTCACTGTTGGAAGACTTTAAAGCTCAGGCCAGAAGGGTATGTGCTAGCTTTAGTAGATTACCGCTTAAAGTAGGTAGCATCAACAGGACCTTTGTTACAAAGGCAGAGTCTCGAGTGGTATCCTGACTTATTTGGTGTGCAAGATGGCAGGGCCCTGGGAAGTCCTGGTTGAGGTCACAGCATGCTGTCCTCTTCCTTTGTGACAGATGTATATACACACTCGGATCTCATCTGTGTGCATCACGTAAAACATGCTCAACTCTGAGAGATCGGTTTGATGTGGTAGCTCTAGAACTCTCTTTTGTAGTTGCACTTTGCCCATGAATTTGTCATCTGACTGTTCTTGATTTCTGTAAAACATCTAAACAGATGAGTGAAATCACTTGGTCTGTTGAGGAGGCCCTTGGGATAAATGGATCTACTGGATTAAAGCAAATGTTTAAGAAACAGTTTGGTGAAGTCCTCCCCCTCCCCCTCCCCCACCCCATGAAAGCCACACTTATGTCAAAGAGTCTTCAAGGCTGATTGATCAGAATTTCATGCATGCAGAGATTGGAATGTTACAGATACAGGACCAAGTTGTCTTGTGCCATCTTCAGTTCCCTTAGTAGCTGTTGATTGTCCAACTCTGTGCCTAACCTAAGTCCTGTGACTATCATGGGAAACTTTTTAAAAATATATTAACAGACCAACCACTAGCTTCCATCATCCCAAAAGCTAAAAATGTCATCAGATAGCATCTAAGAGAATATTTTCCTTCTTTACTGTAACCCAGACACCCGATGTCTCCATCAATGTATTTCTTTTGTTCTGTGACTATAAAAACTTCACAGAACCATTTCTACATTGGAACATGTTATTTGGGGCAACCTAAATCTATGTTCCTGGGCCATGGTCACTCTTTTTTTTTTTTAACTGAAAAAATCAACCTTTATTCTCTCCCTTTTAAGGAGGAATTGACGGTTTATCCTCCCTCCCTCTGAGGTGAAAGCTGTGTTTTGATTGACAGTTCTTTCTTGCTCTCACTCAGGAGGAATGTGAGAAGACTTGTCTTCAGATGACCTTTCCAAGGCTCTGGCAGGCACTCACACTTGGGGAAAATCAGTCAAACCATTGTGGGGAGGCGTTACTGTACACCCAGTGTGCTCATATTTGGGGAAAGTTAGTTCCTTAATAGCTCCCTTGGATTGTCATTCCTGTGCCTTCTACCTCACACCTTCCCTGACTCTCCCTGGCACCTGGAAAATCCACCCTTTATTAGAGACAAGGACAGCTGACCAAAGGTGTTCAATGTGGCAGGTATTTGTTTCTGCACATGGAGGGATTGATGGCACCGGGTTAAATCGGCAAAACAGGAAAGATGTGCAGGAGCTAGGGACTTTGTGATTATAAAACTTAGGGATTTTCATAAAAATATTTTAATGGATGGTCGTTTAGTCTCCAGCATCATAATTATTGTCAATCAGCTTGGTGTTAATACACACCAAAGCATGTCTATAATCACCCATGTTAGCCATGTAAACCTGTGTCCTTTGCAGAACTAGCTGTAAGATTCACTGTTTTCTGCCTTATTTTGTGGCTGTTGGTTCCATTCAAATGTGGATGAGTCAGGAAGAGAAAAGCTCTCTCTCTCTCTCTCTCTCTCTCTCTCTCTCTCTCTCTGTGTGTGTGTGTGTGTGTGTGTGTGTGTGTGTGTGTGTGTGTGTGTGTGTGTGTAAGCAGAAGCCCACTTCTCTGTAATTTCCCTTTTTCACATCTACAGTAACTATGCCTACTCTTCTGAGTCCCTCCAGTGATGTATTTCTAGGTTCCTTGGCTGACTCTTCCTAAGTGCACCTTGTCTGCATGTGAATGATGGTCCTCTGTCTTTCTTCCTCCTGACTCAGAACTGGGGCAGTGACTTCCTATGCACAGAGCAGAATCCTTCCAGCAGCGTACCCAGGTCAGGTAAGTGAAATCATCACACCCCCTTGGCAAAATACCACATCGGGTGAGAGACCTATATTCTAGAGCATTGATTAAATGGACCTTGCTGATTCCATTGCAAGGCAGAGCAAGATGCTTGGAGTCCCTGGAAAGCTGGTTGGCAACTACTGCTGGGCTCCCATGTGGAGGGGCTCAGACCTCTCCCCCAGTAGTACTTTTGTCTCTTTGAAGTTTCAATACAGCTTCTCAGGCCTCCCTGATTGGTGAAGTAGATGCAACCAGGGATGTGGCCTGAGCTGCCTATTTCCCTGTGGCCCACACTGGAACTCTGTGGGACCACCTGTAGGGTGCTGCGTGGTGGCCATCAAGCCCACACACTTCAGCGTTTTTAATGAATGCAAGAGGCAGCACCAGTGAAGTTCTAGGCTGGAAACAGCATAGGGGGTGGGATAGGGCAGACTCACTGGCCTTGTTTAACTCGTACTGTAAAAGGCTAACACTCGTTTACTTTCCTTTTGCCTGTTTTTCCTAGTCCATGAGCTCCGACCAGCAGACATCAAGGTGGTGGCAGCACTGGGTGACTCTCTGACTGTGAGTACTAAGCCATGAGCCAGGGTGGGTGCCACAGAGTTTAGCCTGGCTTTGCAGAATGGGCTCTTCCTCAGCATCAACATTCATCAGGGAGTCCCCTTCAGGCATGAAGCAAGGATCCCAACCCCCCACCTTCCTAAGCCCTACTTAAACTTTGCCTGTGCACCCCTCCACCCCACCCTGCTCCCTAACATCTCATCAGTACTCTGTACATGTCCAAAGTTGCCTGAACTCAACTCCATCAACACAGTCCTAAAGAGTGATAGGCCTTATCTGCACATTGCCTGGACCTCCTCACTCCACTGAAGAGCATGTTCCTTAGGGACAGAGGGAAACCCAATCAGTCCGGGCACAGTTGCAATGGTCCACTGTGTAGCTACTGCTCTGTGTACCACGCTCTCTCAGCAATTCTAAAAAGACGAGTGAAACAGTCATAGCCCTCTGGCTAAGACAGCAAGAAACATAAGGGGGAGGAGAATCATGAGTGAATAGGTGACATATAGGACTTTCAAAATGCATGTCCATTCCTGTGGGAACAAAACCACCCCATGTGGAGGTGTAGACATGAGAAAGTGGTGAAGAATACACACCAGGCCCCAACAACCATACCTTCACCCTGGTGGGGTGCATGCATATGTTCAGGGGAAGGAGTAGACAGTGGGGGCCATGATTCTTTCAGTTTTGCTTTGTGTGTTGGGATCTCAATAAATAGTCATGACTAGCTCCAACTTGCTCTGTAGTCCAGGCTGGCCTCAAACTCCCAGCAAGCCTTAGTTTTTCAGCTGCTGGTATTATATAGGCACTAGCTACCAGGCCCTGTTGAAGCAATATTGATTTTTTTTTTAATTTGACAGATCTCAAGTAGCCCTGACTAGATCAGACTTCTTGAGGATGACCTTAAACTCCTAATCCTCTTGGCCTCTGTCTCTGCAGTTCTGGGATTATGGGTGTACACCACTGAGTCCAGTTTATGCGGTACTGAGAACTGAACCCAAGTTTCCATGCATGCCAGGCAAGCACCCTACAGGCTGAGTTGTACCCTCGGCCTTGGGGCAAGATTCCTGTGATGAGATTAAATTGTTTATTTTTTAAAGTCTTTGTTTAATTTACTGATTATGGCAAACATGTTACTTTGCTAAATTTCAAAGATAGATTGCTTCTTTTTTATTATTAAGAAAAATAAAAGATGGCAGCTTCAGAATCTTCATAGAAAAGAAACTTAAAAAAAAAGGAAGCATGGGAGACAGAGGCAGGTGGATTTCTGTGAGTTTGAGGTCAGCCTGATCTATAGAGCAAGTTTCAGGACAGGCTCCAAAGCTACTGAAAAAAACCTGTCACGAAAAACCTAAATAAATAAATAAATAAATAAATAAATAAATAAATAAGAAAAAGAAGAAAGGAAGCAAGAAGGAGAGGTGAACTGCAGGTTATGATGTCCCCATAGGATAGGGGTTTGGCTTTGACCCTGTGTTGGAGGGGATAACAGGGAGAGATGTGGTCAGAAATGGGAGTGAACCTAGGGTTTCTGGGCTGAGGAGGAGGAAGTTCAACAGTCCCGGAAGGGGAAAGGAGGAGAGGACAAGAACAGAGCAGAGCAGCTCTAGGCCCTCGGGCTTTGGAAATAGTGACAGGTCAACAAGCTTCCATCCAAGGCCTTGTGCAGTGAGAAATGCAGGAAGCAAGCACTGGGGTCAGAAAGTGGACGCTGGATTACAGTGTCCCACACTGGGAACAGTGTTTATGCTTTATACCCTGAAGGGAAGATAGACACATGGAAGCGTCAGTGTCAGAGGCAAATGGCAGAAGGAGATGTAGAGAGTTGTGGCACACAAGTGCCTCCAAGAATATGAATGGCAGCGGAAAAGAAAGGACTGGGGAAAGGGAGATGTCAGAAAGAAAGGATCAGTGGGACCAAGTGAAGTCTTCGAGAAGGACTCAAACCTTAGACATATAGAAAAAGAAGGATGGGTACCTTCCCTAGAAAAGGCCAAGCTGAGTACTGGCTGCTACACAAGGGCCAGAGGGCCTGCCTGAAGGCCCTCTAACTCATCATCAAGTGACAGCCTTTGAAAGATTCTCTTTGCCTTTCACAGACAGCCTTAGGAGCTCGACCAAGTGAGTCCAGCAATTTAACCACTCCCTGGAGGGGACTGTCCTGGAGGTAAGAGTGTTCTTGGCTCACTCTCTATAGATAATATCCCTCTAAATAGGTATAAGAAGTACAATCCCCCACTTGCTCAGGGGTAGGCCTAGATCCCCATGGCCCAACCCTGATATCCATGGACACTCTGTGATGCTTGTGTTAGCCTTGAGGGTGGTAGGGGCTATGCCCCAAGGGCAGAATCTTTCTGGCCTGACTCCTACCTGTGACAACTCAGGAGGCAGCAAGTTGGTGTGACTTTGACAAAGTTACTTTCTCTTCCCCAGCATTGGAGGAGATGGAACGTTGGAGACCCATACCACACTGCCCAGTAAGTAGCCCACACTAAGAGGTCCCGGTACCACAACCATCATAGCCTTCACAGAGGCCAAGACCTTTTGCCTAGAATTGGAGAAACAGGAAGCGATCTGCAAGGAAGAGAGCCAGCTAGCCCCAGAAAGATAAGGATACTCCTGCCACACACCAGTGACCCCAACCTATAGGCCCACCTCAGTTCCTTTCACCTGTGTTCTCTGTTTTGTCCCTCTTTAAAGACATACTGAAGAAGTTCAACCCCTCCATCCTTGGATTCTCTACTGGTACCTTGGAAGCGACGGCAGGATTGAATGTGGCCCAAGAAGGGGCCAGAGCTCAGTGAGTTGACATGGGGATCAGCAAAGAGACCAAGGTGGGAAACAGGATGTGGCAAGAGGCATGGTGCCTAGGACCAAGTTTGGACTCAGATGGGTCATAGCCTCCTTGAATGCTGGGCCTGTATCAAACCTTCCATGTGGGTTATCCTGTGTAATCCTCACATCCTTGGACACAGAAACTATAATGTGGACTTTGTGGCTAGAGAGTTTCTTAAATAGCAGAGATCACCTAGCAAGTCATCAGGGAGGACCTAGATCAGACCATTCCTGAACGTAGTGCTGACCACTGCACTGTTAAAGAAGCCAGAGGAGCCCGTCTACTTTGACATAAGCAGGCTCTGTCCCTGCTGACTCCAGTTCCACCTCCTGTCTATCAGGGACATTAGTCACCTGTGCAGAGTGGTTCTCAGCATCATGAACAGCTCAGTTCTCTTGCTTTTCTGTTTTGCCTCATATCCTTGCATCTAAAGGAAGAAGGGGGAAAAAAGCTGTTTTGACACTAGAGTTAGATGTCAGGGCCCCTCAAATGGCATGGCAGTGGTTTGTTTTCCCTGGGCTCTCTGTTGTTGACAGCAACCCAGGTAATTAAAGCTGAAATGCCTGACTGGGTTCATTGATTTCCTGCACGGAGCAGAGCAGAGCCTGCTGGGTATTTACTTTACAGAGGGTTGCTGGGTTCTTGTCACCAGGGAGACAGCACAGGCTTGACTCACATGCCGCTTCCAGAGAACATTCCTTTTGGAAGCCTAACCCAGGCCCAGGCTCAGCTTGAATCTTGGTGCTGCAGAAGTGTTGGTACTCAGTGTCAAAAAATTTGTCTACAAACACTCGGCCCTGTGGGTGATAATTCCAGCACTTAGTCACTAGAGCCCAGGCATTGTTCACCCAGGCTGGCTCCTCACTCTCCTCCTTCCCCATCCCTTTATGGGGGAGAAGGGGTGGTATGGACATGTATGTGAGTGTGTGTATTCAGGTACATGTGAACACACGAGCTCCTACAAAGCAGAGGCCAGAGGACAAGGTCACCTCTTTCTGGTTAACTCACCACCTTAAGTTTAGTTTTTAAAGATTTACCTTGTGTATGTGCACGCATGTGTGCATGCGCCCATGCCAATAGAGGCCAGAAGAGAGGACTGGAATCCCTGGAGCTGGAGCTACAGGTTGTTGTGAGCTGCCTGGCATAGGAACTGGATGCTTGTCCTGTGAAAGCAAGCATTTTTAACTCTCAAGCCACCTCTCCAGTCTTGTCATTTTAGTGTGTGTGTGTGTGTGTGTGTGTGTGTGTGTGTGTGTGTGTGTGTAAGAGAGAGAGAGAGAGAGAGAGAGAGAGAGAGAAGAGAGAGAGAGAGATGTGGAGTACACATGGGGAAGAGGATAGGTAGAGGTCAGAAGCTATCTTTAAGAAGTCAGCTCTCTCCTTCCATCATGGTTTCCAGGACTTGGACTCCAGTTGTCCAACTCATGTATAGCAAGCACTTCCACCCACCCTTGTTGCCCTCTCCACCTTGTATTTTGAGACATGGACTCTCTCTAAACCTGGAGCTCACTGATACGGCTACATTAACTGTCCAGTGAACTCCAGGGTTGCACAGCCTGGACCTCGGCACTGAGGTTACAGGTATATGCTGTTGGACCTGGACTTACATAGGCTCTGAGGATTCAAACTGGGCTCCTCATGCTTGGATAGCAAGCACTTTACCCACCGAGACATCTCCCTGGTCTCCCACCTTTCCCTTTTCTTACTACCTTACTAGCATCTCTGCCTGAGCAGAGGCACTGTAGGAGATACAGCTGACATCCACAGGTATCCCTGTGTCCAGTGTTGAGAAGGAAGCAAGGGGCATTGGCTTAAGTAAGGTTCTAGAATTGTTCTCTCTCTTTTCCTTATTTCTACCCTGTCATTTATCAATGACTAAGTGTAAGTTCATCTAAAGAGAAAGATAACACATGAACGACCAGAGTTTGAATCCCCAGTCCCCATGTAATTGTCAGGTCCACAGAGATCAGATCTTCTGTGTTCAAATTACCACTCAGAAACTTGCTGGCTTTGTGACCTTGGCCAAGTTACTTCGTATCTATGAGTCTTAAGTTTTCTCCTCTCTAATGAGGTTAATCACAGTACCTGTCTCTCAGGGCTGTCATAGGATTAAAGGAGATAAATAAGCCTTGGAAAGATTGAGTATAGCGCTGGGGCATTGGTGGCGCACGCCTTTAATCCCAGACTCAGGAGGCAGAGGCAGGTGGATCTCTGTGAGTTCGAGGGCAGCCTGGGCTACAGAGCGAGTGCCAGGATAGGCTCCAAAGCTACACGGAGGAAAAAAAAAAAAAGATTGAGTATGGCATATAGTCCACATTCATACAAAAGTTTGCCATTCTTAGGATATTTCGTTTCAAAGTCTTAATCAACAACTAATTTCCCTTCCATTAATCATGCAGCAAAAATGCATTCAGCATCTGCTTTACTTGATTGATCCCATATACTCAAAGGGTGAAGTCCTTGCTCTGAGTTAGTCCAGCCAAGGAACTAGACAAAGAACAGCTAGCTTTTGGAGAAAGGAAGTTTTGTATGGCAACACTGCAGACTGGGAACTATCTGCTTCTCAGATGGTACTTAGGAAGGCAGGATAATGTCAAGACCTGCTGTCTCAGGCCTGGGACCTTTGTAAATTCACAGAGCTGTGGAAACAGCTGCAAGGAAAGACCCTGGGCCCTGGAGGGAACGGGGAGACTAGATGGAGGACCCGTGGATAAGGATGCATGAAAAGAAGAGCATGGTGAGGGCCTGAGGAGTAGGAAGAAGTTGGCTGGGGATAGGGGCCTCACCACAGAACCTTAAGGCCTCATCACTATGAATTCTCTTGAGCCTGACTGGGTCCTATTAGAAGTTACAGTGTATCTGTGGTTGCCTTTACTTTATAACTTCTGTCCCTGTCACTATAATCCTGGGTGCATAAGTTCTCTCTTCTCTGAGAGAAGGGCAAGGATTGAACCATGAGTGCTGGCAAGTGTCTGCCCAGTGTCCATGAACAGCCTGTAACCATCATGTCTTAGCTCTTTATGTTGGCTATGTGTCCTTTGCTCATCTAACTTCTCAGATCAATTTTGTTGTTTTGTAACAGGGTCTCAGGTAGCCCGGGCTGATCTCCTATTCATCATGTAGCCAAGGCTGGCCATCAACTCCCAATTCTCCTGCATCTGCATCCCAAATGCTGGGGTTGCAGGTATACTCTACTACACCTGGCTCAATACGTATCTCTTTTTAAGGAAACAGTTTCATTGAGGTGTATTGACCCACAATAAAGCACACACATTCAAAGGCATACAATTTGCTAAGTCTTGACGCCTGTGTACCTGTGTGACAGTCACCACTCTCTTAACCACTGAGTCATCTCTCCAGCCCCCAGACAATCACCACTCTCATGCAGTGAGCATGCCTGTCACTTAGAGTTATCCACACTGCTGAGTACAGAAATACTTCATTCCTTTTCATTGCTGTGTACCATTCCACTACCACACATAACTGAGTGTCTAGAACCTAACAGTGTATCTTTATTGGCCACTGAGGCTCAGACACAGCAGTGAAAGGAGCCATCAAGCCTGGGAAGGAGAAATCTTGGGATTAATTTAGGAATGTGACTTTTTTCAAAAATAAAAAATTATTTTTAAAACAGGCAATGGAGTAAGAATCAAATAGGCTCAGCTTGTTTTGAGAAGATTTGATAAAAGAGGGGGGAAATCTGAGGATGTTGTCCAAATCCTAGATAAGAGGTCAGTGAGACCCTGGCCCCATCCCAGGAGCAGCAGGGTCTGGAGCAGTGTAGCCCCCAGGTCCCTGGTGAGAACTAACCGGCAGCTTCTGCAGGACAGAAACTCAAAGGCTGGCTGGGAAGAATGGCATTCTTGGAGTTAGTCTTCCTGGAGTCCAGCCTAAGGCCTGCATCCTGAGCAACTCTGATAGTGACTTCTCTCCCTTCTCCCTAGGGACATGCCAGCCCAGGCCCAAGCTCTGGTAGAGAGAATGAGAAACACACCTGTGAGTACAGACCCCAAAAGATGCTCTTTAACTGGGAAGAAGTAGGGCCGCAGAACTCCATGGTTGCCCCCTCAGCACATCTTCCAGGGAGCTCACAGGAGCTCTGCCTGGCACCCTGCCCCAGGCCTGGCTGCAGGAGGACAAGGTGGCTCGGGGAGTTGGCCAAGATCACAGGCCTCAGGCTCTTTATCCCAGAGTTGGCTTCCCAGAGCCCTCTTATATAAACACAAAGTGCTAAAAATAAGCTGCCCATTCCAATCCTTCCCTGTCCCCAGCCCCTCAGAATCTCACTTGGCACTTTTTTCTACTGCTCCGGCTCTACTCTTGTGCCACGGACTGCAGCTCCTGGAGGGACTCCTTTTATGGTGGAGGCTGAGTGGGAAGTCACAGCTCTTGGGCCTTCCTGGTCTTCCCACCATCCTGACCCTGCTGGGTTCTCCCTCCATGAACCCAGGCCCTAAGAGCCCTGACTTCACCCTCAAGCTCCATCATCTGACACAAACTCCTTTGAACGACTCAGATCACATTTGAGGAACACGATAACCCAGGAGGCCTTTCAAAAGCTTGGGGAATGTGAGATACATCCATTCTGGCACTTTAAGAAGATTTGGGGGTAGAAAGTAGCCTATGTGGGAGAAAATAGCACCCCCCCAATGTACTTCTTATGGGGGAGCTCCCATCATCTCAGGGTACCATGGCAATGAAGGAGTTACCACCTCATACTCCACATGATTCAAACAAAGATGAAGGCACTTGAGAATCAGCAGACTCCATAGCATGGCTAGTAATCACCAGCAATTGGCCCCAAGTCTTAACCTCAGGCTCTGTCCCCTCAGACGATCAACCTGGAGGAAGACTGGAAGCTGGTTACTCTCTTCATCGGGGTCAATGACCTGTGTCATTACTGTGAGAACCCGGTAAGCTGGTGGGTCATGAGAACAGAATGGCTGACCCCCATCCTCCTCCTCACCGAGGGCTGTGACATGTGCCCATCCCTTTCAAGTGTCATACTAGCCTGGGGCTCCAGGCACTTGATTCTACCCCGGAAGCCTCTGGTCCACACAGAGCAAGCAGGCTTAGCTTTTTCTAAGTGGTTCTCCACTCAGAAGAAAGGTCTAGAAGGACACAATCTTCACGAGCTGGGGGCATGGCCTCCTTGGGGCAAACAGATGGCACAACCTGGTAGATAGGTGGCCAGTGATTCTCTGTCTCATGCCTATTTGGAGTCTGCCTTCCCTTGGAAGGGGAGGTAATACTATCTTCTAAATGGAATTAGGAAAAAGTAGAACCAAACTTGAGAGTGTCCTTGCTGCCCTTCAGGACCATGGTAAGTTAACAAGGCAACCCCAGCCAGCTGGCCTGGGAGCTGACCCCATTCCTGATATGTCTCTATGGGGAAACATGTCCAGACTTACAAGCCTTTGGAAATGTCCCCTCTAGAATACATCTTGTTCTAAGTTAGGGACATTCATATTTTATTTGGCCAGGAAAACAGCTGCCAGGACTCTGAAGATATGGTAGAATGTTTGACAGTCACTGTTGGGAGTGGGCAGGAAGCTCTTAGCTCCTGGAGGATCACAGAGAGCAACTATTCGAGCCTGCTGTGATTATCTTCCCTTACAGGCTCTTCCCTCAGTCCTTTCTCTTACTGCCCAGAACTGGGGATCTGGGGTACACAAGAAGGACCTAACTTCTGGGACTTTGTAATCATATTTTTCATCAGGATCTCCAGCGTGCAAATAATGACACTGAGACTTATTAATTCTGAAAGCTTGGCCTATAGCTTAGGTTTGTTCCTAACTAGCACTGATAACTTAAATTAACCTATTTATATTAATCTACATCTGTCTTGTACCTCCTGTTTCTTCTCCATTGGGCTGTTGACTCCACCCTTCTTCTTCCGAGAGTCCCTTCTGCCTTCCTAACTTCTTCCTAGCTATTGACCATTCTGCTTTTCAGTACACCAATCACAGCAATACATTTCCGCATAGTGTACAAATGTCCCACAACAGGGATTTCAATATTACTGGGTCCTGGATTGTAGGGCTCACTGGAAACCAGAGGATGCCAGAGCTGCCTGTGGACACATGGTATGGGGAATGCCCATCATTTAAACAACTTCATATCTGTTCCTTAGAGCATATATTTATGACAAAGGACACCACCAGGTCTCTGGGGAATGCAAAGAGGCAGGGCTCTTGAGGATAGGAGTCTCTTAGTTCACACTCTGATTCTGCCTCCCGAATAGAAAGCTACAGCAACCTCCTTTTCCCTTTACAGGAAAATCACTTGGCCGATGAATATGTCAAGCACATCCAGCGGGCCTTGGACATCCTCTATGAGGAGGTAGGAGTGGGTAGTGAGCAGTCCGTTTCCTCGTCTTGCAAGCAACCCTGCTTTCCCACTACTGCCATGTGTGGAGACACCCCCCCACCCCCCCACCGCCCGTGCATCTAGGCAAGTTACAGGACAGTTTCTAGCTGGCTTGGAAGCTGAACAGTGGCATAGCAAAAAGCTCCCACTGGAGCCAGCTGGCCTGGGTTTGAAGGCTGGCACTGTGGTTTTCATTAGCACTGGGATTTCTCTGGGTCTCAGCTTTTCTACCTGAGGAAGTGAGGCACTGGAGAGTCAGTGTGATCACATAGTCCCCTTCCCGCAGTCCGTTTCTTCCATGGTTAATATCAGGCAGGGCAAGGTTAGATTGAAGACTGTTCTCCAGGCTTCCTACCCCCAACTCATAAAACCCACGTCTCTGCTTCCTGCAGCTTCCCAGGGTTTTCATCAATGTGGTGGAGGTCATGGATCTGGCTGGCCTGCACCAGGGCCAGGATGGGCAATGTGTCATGCCACTCGCAGTTCAGTAAGTGTTCGGGGCATAGTTGCCTGGGGTGGGCAGGGCCAGGAGTCAGGGACTTAGAAAACACTTGGAACTGACTATAGAACCAAATGCCTACTCCATTCCCTGGGTAGTGGTTTGCTTTTCTATAAAGTGACACACATATCAAAAACCCATAAGACTCCCAGAACTTCTAATTCCAAATTCCACCCTGAACGTCTACTCCCTGCAAGGGACAGTGAGCTTCAAGGACATCTCCAGTGTCCTTAAAGTCTTGCTATGGGGGAACAATTGGACCTGAACCTACAGTCTCTCTGAACCTCTGAGTACTTGCCTATAAAATAGGGGTAACTTCTTCCCCAAAAGAAACACCAACAGAAAATACATGCATGGTCTAGAACAGGCTCTCAGGAGATAGCCTTTATCCCTTCTCAAAAGCAGAGCTTGGAGGCCAGCTAGGAATGGGCATTTGGGGCATCAAAGTTCAAAGGATCGCTGTGGAACTCAGACAGGCATCTGACTTCTTTCAAGGCCTCGGGGACACATTTTCTACAGCTGTGGCTGAGGGGGTCTACCTGAAAGCAAATAGATGTCCTCTAAAGGTGGCTAAGGAATCAGGTCCCCAGGTGAAATGTCTGTGATTACTAAGAAAAGTCCCTCTCATGCCTTAGGTCCTGATATTGCATCCCACTTTGTCAAAGGTGTTTCAGGCCTTCCAATAGCCTTCACATACTAGACCTGATGAGTCTCATAACTGTGGAGATGAGGCCAGAGCCATCCTTCCCAAAACTCTATCCCTTCTCCACCCAGGCCTTCTCTGACAATTGAGAAACAGTCAGCTTAGAGAATGGAGAGCCTATACTAGAAGAGACCTGGCCTTAGCTGCCAACCCTTCCAACTGTAAACAAGTACCTTGTGTTGATCCAAATACCTCAAAATACTTCAATCTATGAGAATAGTGTTTTCTTGGTTCTTGGCTTCAGAGTTTTCAGTCCATGGTTTCTTGGCTCTGTGGCTAGACACGTTCTTGTGGGAATATATGAGGGAGCATGACTGCTCGTGGAGGCTAGAAGGCAAAGTGGGTGGGAGAGCAAAGGACATGACTGCTGTGACTTCTCCCTTCAAGTAGGCTCCACATCTTAACGGTTCTACCACCATCCAACAGTACCAAAAACTGGGACCAAGCCTTCATTCTGCACTTGAGATTTTAGGGAATATTGACAGTCCCAACTGTGGCACACCTTTTTCACCTCATTCCTGAATTAGGGTTCTGTGACTGAGGCCTAAGTGTTGTAGGGATACTTGTGTGTCAAGCCCCAGCCCCACCCCACATCCATTGGGTAGAAACTCCTGGGCCACCCCAAGGAATCCTCAATGCAAGATGCTTTATGTCATAGGAACTGCAGTTGCTTTAAACACACTCAAAGTCCCATGGTGATGCAGGAGCTAAAGAAAGTGAACTGGAACCTCCAGGTGAGTCTTAACGCTCTCTTCCTCCTGTCTGGGATGGGAGCCCAGGCTGTGCTCTCTGAAGGGGACTCAGCACTTGTTTATTAACTAGGGGTCGGCAGAGAGCCAGTGACTCCCTGAAATGCAGGTCCTAGATCTCAAAGTATTTATCCAGGAAATCTGGATGCCAAGGTCAGGGAAAGATGGAGTGGAGATTCCAAAGAGACAGATGGAAGAAACCCATAGTAGCAGCATAGGCCACTTTCCTTATCTATGACCTTTATGAGGGGAACAGTTAGTGTACCTGGCTCCCACTTCCTTCTACTCCCCCTCCCCACAAGCAGAAAACTTAGCCCCACTGACATCTACTTCCCTAACACTGCTATACCCCTGTGCTACCTGTTTGGGATCAGCCTACCCAAAGCCTTGTTGCAAACTAATCCCTCTTCATGAGGCAAGTAATATTCCTCTCCAAAGTCCCCATGACTCCCTCTTCACCTCTGCAGCCTCTCCAGATCAAATTAGGTCTGCACGGGGTGGGCCTTTGAGCTATATCTATGCTTCTCATGTCTTCCCCTTTTACCTCCATTTACCAGATGAACTGTGAAGTCCTTATTATATATGCAGCTAATTCAATCCTCTTAATATTCCATGTTTTCGTACTTCAGTCCAAAACCCATGGGCTCTCTACCCCTGTCATCCTAAATTCTTAGGCATTTTTGGAGAGCTGACGAGATACTCCCCATGCAGTGGGGGCAGCCAGACCCATGTCCAATGCAATGTCATCAGCAGCTCAGATGTAGCCTCTTGGGGTAAAACTAACAGAGCCTGTTAATGGAGACCTTTTCTAGCCAGGGTCCCTTGACCCTGATCCTAAGATGCAGATGGTCACTACAACCAGGATGAATCCATGTGTGGGCCAGATAGTCCCTTTAAGTTCCTATTGCCTAGGGTGGGTCCACTCCTGTCACAACAAACCCATGGCATCCAAAGCCTTACCTCTTTATTCACAGAGTGGCATCTCCAGGCTCTCCTATGGGCACCAGTACATGCAGCGTGAGGACTTTGCAGTCGTCGTACAGCCTTTCTTCCGGCAAACTCTCATCCCACTGAATGAGGTAAGCTGCAGCTGTTTCTAGGAAGCTTTTGAATGCAGCCCTCGTTTTTTTTATTGTCTTGCTCTAGGAAGACTCCTAGAGAGGAATTGTTTTTCAGCTGTGTGTGGGTATGATTGGAACTTAGACATTCTTAGAAACGATCAAGTGCACAGTGACCAAGCACACCCCCACTTCCCGCCCCAGAATGGAAAATCATTACATCTTCATTTCCAGGACAGGGATGAACTAGGAAAGCTATAATTCATGTTTGCCAAAAACAAAATCCAGGAGGCTTTCCATCCGTGTCTGAAGCAGGTGGAAGGGGAATGCTGTGTCACCTGTTGGGTGGGGAAGCAGGCAGGCAGGTTCAGATGGTAACCTCCTTTTCTCCGGTCACAGCAAGGGGACATGGACCTCACCTTCTTCTCTGAAGACTGTCTCCACTTCTCAGAACGTGGACATGCTGAGATGGCCATTGCTCTCTGGAACAACATGGTATGCAGCTGAGGGAGCAACCTAAGGCTATTGGCTCCTTCCTACAAAAGGGCAAACTACTGATATGGTTTGGTTTTCCCTAACTATTGCTCCTGGTGTGTTTTTGAAGTGTTTATGTAAGCAGGTGCACAGGTAGAATGTTGGATATCCTGCTCTGTCATTCTCTGCCTATCACCCACAGTGCTGGTGTTAGAGGCACCCACAACCATGCCTGGTTTTTACTTGGATTCTGGGAATTTGAATTCAGTTATTCATGTTTTAGCATGAGTTAGTAGCAAGTTCTTACTCTTCTGCCCTCTGATCAGTCCCTAATATATTTAGGTGTGGAAATATGTGGAGATCCGAGGACAAATTTGGGTGTTAGTTCTCTCCTTCCACTGCAGGTTCCAGAGATCAAATTCAGGTCATCAGACTTGGAGGGCAAGTCTTTTTTTTTTTTTTTTTTTTTTTTTTT